ACTTCACTCACTAAATGCAGTTTTCCAGATTTGATATTCCCTAAAATGTTAATTTCACTAAGCTACCATAGCTCACCATGATTTTCCTAGTGAAACAATTCATGGCACAATCAATGATAAAAACGCAATATGTGGCACAACCAATGAGAAAACACAATATAGTTTATCACAACCAATGCACAAAGCAAATATAAGCGAAGTACAACCAATGGTGAAATCACATCATGTAACACATCTAATTCTAAAACACACCAAATACGTTCTGCTTTTGCACAGGACAGTTTCCAATACTTCAACATGCGCATATTTTGATTGATGTTAATATATTTCAAGACTGAAATTAGATAACAAAGTAGTACATGTGCTTGTACATGTATATCATATCCATGTAATGTATGCTCAAACCATGTCTTCATTACTCCTATATGGATTCGGAAACTAATTGGGCAAATCATTTTAAATGAATGTTTACTACAAATTAATGATCATGTAATTGAATATGCCTAGACAGTAACTCCAGGCCATGAATACCTATGTAAAACAATATAACTTGTTTATCCTGATTGATGATTTAACAAAGGAATGCATACCCTTAAAACAATAGCTTAAATAGACACTTAAAATTATTTTTAATGTTGAAGATATTTTGTAGCACTGACATCAGTTTTTATCTAATCTTGTTGGTCATAAATTTTTTGTTTATGTATACAACTCACTACTGGTCTGGTATATGTTATGTTGGGCCCTGTTATGTTATAGGGATAGTTTTTTTTATTTGTCAGACTCATTTGTCGACAGTAAAGATCCACATAAATTTTTGTGCTTACAGTGCATTGCTAATAATAGATAAAACAGATTTATTTTTTTATGTACATATTTATTGGGTTTATTTATTTATACATTAGAATACATATAAGTTCAAAACCAAAATGTTTAGAAATGATATTTTTCCCTCAAAAAAATTGGTGAAAGTGCAAAGCTATGTTAATTATTTAAAACCTATGTTATGAAACCATGATGCATTTGGTTTCATTTTGCAAGACAATCAGGGCTGAGTTACAAATACATTCCTGTGGCTTTATATACCAATCCTGCCATACACAACAACATCCAAACATGAACATTTTTCAAACACCATCCCTGTAAAAGCCACCATTGTCTTTAGGAATTCTATTTTCTGATCTGAATCATACCTTGCCAAAAAATGTGACCCTGAACACCTCACAAAAAATGTCAATTTCAGTCATTATATACTTTGACCCTATCATTTACATTCATTTAAAAATTTAACACATTTAACATAGTATGACACAAGATGAAGTCATTCTATTGATTGTATCTTACAATGAACTCAGTTTGATTTTTTCATCCCTCATTATACATGTCATATCTCAAATCAAAGCGAGTCTATTGACTAGCACTTGGCCTTTAATTTTTTCAGTTAGAACTATTCAGGTCTTTAAAATGATGACTTAACCAAGCCTTTCTATTTTCTTGATCAAACCAATGAAATATTTCAGCTTTTTTAACTATTTAAAACTGACACAGCTCAATCTATGAAATAAAGAGATATAAAGGAAGTAATATGTAGGGGTTTCTCAATCCTCCCTCTAGTTTGGAACCAATCCGGTGAAAATAGATCAACCTATGGCAATTTAAAATATATTTAATTTTCAAAAGGATGGAAGCCTACAGCTCAATCCCTGGGTGGGTGCAGCTTGTTTCCATCTTCAATTGCAACATCTACATGTACCTGCTGGCATCTTGTCAGCCTCAATGATGTATGATAGACACAATGTTGTGTACACTACGATAGAATACCACATGATTCTGATCTCATGAAAGTTAGTAGATCAAAGTGCAATTTGATTACAAATGTAGTTATGTTTTATTTATAAGTAGCTGGAATGTTACATTCACAAAACATGGTCACAAATTCACTTTTGTCTGCACGACTCATGACTAAACTCAGAACCATTTTCTCTGTATAGTAAAATATATGACTTTGTATATCGGGTGATGGTGCGATCTGGGATGTTTATTGGAGCATGTAAAGATTGCACATGTGGTAAAATATTAAAAACACAAAAAATCATTTATTAACACGAAAAAGTATAAACTCATAAAACTACCACGTTAAAAGTTTAAATTGCAGTAAGATGTCTCCTGGACTATCCATATTATCCTATCAAGTTTTGGTGTCTGAAAGCTAGACTAAGCAGGCCTGTAACCAGCTTTTGCCAAGGGGGGTCACTTTTCAAAAAGACTACTTTGGTCCAAAATCACTCAAACCCTCCTAATTCACCCTTGGCTACGGGCCTGGAGACTTTCCATATATGGGCTTGATGCAAGACTACATGAATGATAAACCTACCAAAAATCTCCCCGTTTTTCCCATTTGTTAACCACAAAAAGTGTACCCACTACCCAGATCCCAAGTAGATGATCCTAAGCATCATTACTATAGGCCAAGTAATAACTCAGTTATAAATGTAAAGGTTGCATAGTAAACTATAAAGCATTCAGAGTGCAGGTAATTAATCAAAGATATGGGTAATGATCCGATATTTCTGCACTTATCTATATAAAAGTAATACCTAAAATCCTTGGCCTCTTTCAATAAAATACATTATGTGCTTTCACATTTAGTGTGTATTTGACAAGTGAAAGCCTTGAATGGTGAAGTATCTCATTACTGAGAGTATCATAAGATATTCAGAACATCTTTCTATGTACCAGAAACATGATCTCGGGGACTGAGAATAAATGAGATGTCATGGTTTATCATGGTGAAGGATCTGTCCATCCCCTCAATTGTTTATATGTGTTTCAATATTGTTACACCTTTCCAATGGTTTCCCATTTCTAATTTTTTTCGGGCCATAGTTTCTGAGTGTCATTTATTTCTAAATTCCTATAATTATTGCCTACTCAATTTCTCTAACTGCCCACTATTTCTTATTGCCAATATCTGAGTGTTAGTCTTGCTTCAAGATCCTGGGAAAACTTGATGGTCCTGTTTCAAGTCTCTGGATGCCCCTCCCCCTCTTTATCTTCTTCAACACCTTGTTGGAAGGTGTGTAATGGGGGTCACAAGGGATTTAGCAACTATTCCAGGGATTCTATAGTAGGAATGGTAAAACAACTAATCCAATCCTTAGTCTAGCTACAAACCCTTTGAGCCCCCCCCCCCCACTATACACCCCCCCCCCCCTCTGTGTGAGATGGTGTATAGTCAAGTAGTGGGAGGGGGTCACAGGGGCTTGTAGCTAGACTATTAATCCTCCACTCTCTTCATTAAAATATAATACAGGTAAATGGTGATTAGGTAATCAAATATCTATTGTAAATACAAGATTACAGGTTAATATCAGCAATCAAGTGTTCCACAAACCATGACATAACACTGACTGAAGCAATGCAAACAAGAGAGGCAAATACAAACTTTTATTTAGAATTATTTTGACAAAATCTTATTTTATTAAGCCATAAAACAAATAGCACCTCTATTTCCTATAGCTTCCTATATAGCCAGTCATTTGAATTTAAACAAAATTACCTTCAGGAAATTTTGATCTTGAAATATTTTCCGTTAAAATTGATAGAGTGTCTTTGCCTAATTTTGAGAGCAAAACAGTCATTATGAAACACCTTGGTGGGGGAACAGTCATTATGAAACACCCTGTAGTTTTACGGTCATTTTTAAATATTCTGTCATTTGGGAGATGTTTGAGCATTCTAATGTCCATATAAATGAATACTATTAAGAAACTTTATTATTAGTTTGCAAGGTGAAATATATGACATTCAAAATTCACTTGGTTTTGCTGAAATCGATTTGTGCTGAACTCGAAGGTTTGTTGATATGAAACAAGTGTTGTCCACCATTTTAGATGAGACTAGGTAAAGTTAGCTTCCTCCTTCCGTGGACCAGTGATGTTACATGTAATACACGGTTTCATAGCCATAGCAAAGGCAATTACTAACCATGGCATTGCATGCTTGTACATGTAAAACTACAGGTAACCAGTAAGTAAATCAATAGGTAAATGCTTATATCTGTCATACTAAATAACAAAAAATGTTACCATTGGATGTAACACAGTATGGTACCTTAGAAACAGTAGTTGCTAGCATGGGGCCATATACCACCTTGCATAATGCTTCCCATAGTCTTAATAATTATGACCCAAGTTAGTAAATTAACTGATAACAGAGACATTGTGGCTCATTGAAGTATCTGCAGTCCCAAATTAACCTGAGCGACTATACTTTTGATATAAATGGTTTGATATGTACATTATTGCATGTCTGCAAGCTATAATAAAGAAACCACAATGTCATCTCAATGTTCACTATGGCCAGGTCACAAATGTAATATGTTCATTTGATTAAACCATTAGGTTGCATCCATTTACTGTGTAAAATGTATAGTAGGTTAATATAGTCATTCATCATCTAGATATTCTAATAGGATTATCATGTATTGGATTATGCTCAATGTTTATGTTGAACGCTCAGGTGTACCTGTGTTCATATAGATTGTGTTGAACTATGCATTCATATAAAATGTGTTGCGTTACACATCTCGAGTTACAAGTTCATGTATTAAGCTGTATGTTCATACTGAGTGTGTCACATGTTCACATATTGAATGAATTGATTTTACCGTATTTCAAATTGAATGTAGTGTGAGCTCTGGTGATGCGTTGAGCTATGTTCATGTTGAATGTGTTGAGCTTCATGTTTACATTGAATCATGTGTTGAGCTTTATGTATGTTAGCGATGCAATCAAAATGAATGTATAGAGCTATATATACTTCACATGTTAAGGTGTTAAGGTCATGTTTACCTGTAACAATACCTGATCAACTTTGTAAATAAACAAACCTGGACGTATGGTTTACCTGTAATAACACATGACTTAAATGCCCTTGTAAATCAATATGACAAGATCAATAAAATACCAGTAGATATAAACGATCGTAAAACATCTTACCTTTGTATTTCCTCCATAGTAAGAAACCGACTAAGCCTCCAATGATAGCACATAATGCTAAGGTTCCTAGAATACAACCCGCTACTATCCCTCCTATATTTGGACAAGCCATCGTCTTGCTATATTACACAATTAAAGTTCCAAAAAACTGTAAATAGTCACGTTATGTGATTATTTTTTCACACCTGCCTGTGTGTTTTATCCATGTTTAATTTTGTGTATCCTCCGTGTATTCTGAGTACATAGTATGTGTGCATATGTCCTTATAGTGTACCTGTTCCGTGTTCCTACAGTGTGTGTGACTTGACTGATCAGGTCACTCCTATATAAGCCAATGAATTCCTAGCATACCTTAGCGTGTATCGTGTGCTGTGTAGATTAAAGTACGCTGGGTCCTCTTTGTTCAAATCACAGTTTAATCATTGGTAAAGTCAGTGGGATAACCTGCAATAGTATGATATATACGATCATTAATTATCTCCCTTTGAGTCAATTATCTTATTTGCAATACATGAACACGTTAATGAAGTTCACATCATGCAGTGTTCACATACAGATTGAGAAATGCTCAAACCTCTTTCGTGAAAAATTATGAATGAATTAAACTGCAATCGCTGTGGCACAGCACCTCCCCATTAAGCCATAGAGTCAACTGTGTCACACTAAGGCTCACTAAGCAGCTTCTAAAGCTACCAGCGCATACCTTCTACACATAAATGCCATGTTTGGAAAAGTTATGAGTCTTTTTGCTTCGGGGCTTTATACCTGCTCACTTGTCAAATGTTGAAAGCCTGAAATCGCCAATGATAAGCCAAGTATGCTTGATAGTCCATTACAAAGGTTACATTTATTCACCTATTGACATTGAACACTGGACTGTGCGATAGGCTACCTGTTGATCCTATGCCAGAATATTATTGATATGTGGGTAACATGGAATGCAGGTCCTTTGACTATTTTAACTAACTAATGATGCATTATGTTATAGAAAATTGGATAAATAATTGTACAAAAATCAGCTCAAATTGTACACTTTCTCTGTCTGTTTCTAAATGTACTTTAAACATTTTCATTTCTGTTGACCTTTTAATTTAAATCATAATCATAAATATAAATCATAATAAAAAAATCAAGTTTAAAACCGAAAATGAAATTAAAAGGCCCAAATCTGAGTGATTGAGGAAAATTCGTTAGTTTCTCCAAATCCTGTTTTTTATTACCTTTATTATAAATTGGCAAAACTTAAAGTTACTCGAAAAATTTAGATATTTTCAACTTTCCCAAATTTTGGGCAATACAGAGGGAATTCCGATCCATATTTGAACGTCCATTGATGAAATGTATATGGCCACATATACAACTTGCATAGTTAGACCATACTTTAGGAAAATTTTAGGTACCTGCACAATGAACGATCTAAACGATGGTGTGATTTCTGCCATCATATGCCCTCTATAGCAATTGAATTAAATTTTTGTATTTCTATTGCCTGTTCTATTGTTCGGATCTCATAAATACAAATTCATTCCTTAGTCAACAATGACATCTGAAATCTGAAGTTTTGAAATATGTTCTGAATAAACACTTAATATAAGCAAACGCTGACTTCAAATTCTTTGAAGCATCTAGTCATAATAACAGCCTAACACCTGAACTAGTTTTGCAATTATATTAAAATACCCTAAAGCCCAGGGGTTAATAGTAACACTACTACTTTCTTTCTCAATACAAAGGGTATCTTGTATATGAAGCCAATGGCTAAACTTTGATTGACCCCAGAATTAAATACTCCCCCAGGCTCATAGCGGGGGGGGGGAGCAAGTGAGCCCCCCCCCCTTCCCCCCAGCCAAAAATTCTTTCAAAATCATGCTGTTTTTTACCATTCTGATTTTGGGTCAAAGTTATCAAATGTGACTCCCCTGGAATTTTTTAAGAAGTGAACCCCCTTGGAAAAACTGGCTACAGGTTTGCCCCTCTTCTAGTTTTGTTGCGACTGTTTACAAACCTTTATAGAAAGATTACACTCGTATAGCATTGATACAATTTAATTTCAACATCCGACCTACCTTGATAATCCAACATATCAGTAATTATTTCCGATGATAACTCATAAAACAGCAGATGCAATTTGAAATTATTCACACAAAAAATGCAAAACTGATTATCTCCCCAATGCAGCTTTTGCAATTCTAATCTATGTATGCCAATCCACGGCAATAGAAACACTGGTCAGCAACAATAGATAGAAACATAATAGAAAATCACTTTTAATAATCGTAACCAAGTGGAGTAATATGATTTGATCAGTTTCACCTTTTAATTCATATCAATTCAGTGTTATTGTCTATTCACCTGGAAGTCCTATTGTCTCTACAAAGTTTGCCGGATCTCTCTCTCGCCAAAATATACTAGTTTCTATACGCAGATGATATGAAATTGAAAATATTGCTTCAATATGGTTTCAGTTAGCAACCCTTGCAAAAAGATTTACATGCCCTTTAAGTAAACTGATATCTGACATTACAGAATACTGTATATTTCAAAGAGATCAAGACAAGAGACATCATTGTTTTCTAAACACTCTAATTTTACACTCAACAGGGTTAGAGAATTTCAAGAACTGGGATAAAAAGCTCCTTAAATGTAATACTGATTTGTTTATCAACTGTTTTATTAGAATCAGATTTTACTTTAAAACATGTACATGTATATAGGCCATTAAGCACAGTAACAGGTTTACAAAAAGCTTTTTCACATAAAATTTTCAATATTAAACTTTCTATTATCTCAGCTCAGTTGAAACTCCTTATTAAAGGACAGTCAAGGATAGAGCCTAATTAAACTGTCACAATTTCTCATTTTTTGCGCTTCTCATGTTTACTTTAAAAAATAAAAATCCAAGACTTCTGACTTTAACTTCTTGAGAATATTTTTTCATTTCATACTAATAATTCTGAATAGGGGATTCCCAATTTTTCAATTCTAATGAATTTGGACATTTTCATATCTGAAATATTTCATTTTTGATAAGATATCCAGGTTCCATCCCTATCAAATTTGGAATCATAATGGGCAATGACATGCTTATATAAAATTGACATTGAGTTGAAAAGATCGCTTCTACTATTTTACACTTAATCCTTTTCTGTCACTTCAAATATATCATAATATATTTTGTAAGATATGTAAAAATGTAAAATTGCACATAAAGCAAACCTTGAATAATCAGATGTTACTTAACTCTCATCATATCTCATTTTTCTTAATCATTTATTCAGTTTAATAATACTTGAAGTCTAATATTTTGAGCTTATATTATACCAAATAATGCCATGATGGATCAAGATATATTGAACATTTGTTAATTAAAGTATATCATTTTCATATCGAACCCAGAGTTTTACAATTACATTTTATAGTACTTTATCAGAGGTCACGATTGTTTACAAAATAAAATATTTTCAACAATTATGACCTCTAATAAAATACAGATAGTTCAAGAAATAAAAATTGAATATAAATCCTAACAAAATGTAAATCTCATAATTCTAATTGTAACAACATGTATCATTAAATCTTATAAATATAATACCCCAGTGAAATCTGATCTAATTGCAAAATGTACAAAAAGTTACTTACATGTACGTCTTAAAAAGATATCTATATTCATATCATGATGTTCAGCAGCTTGTTATCAAAATTTCAAAATGTAGAAATGGTTAACAAATATTTGCAAAAATCAACTGTATTCTAAAACATATTTTCATATGATTAAAAGTTAGCATGCGAGCAGCTCAATAATGAATATACTACTCAAAACCACATGTCCTTACACACGTCTATGTAATATTATTTGTTTTCATCGTGGCAAAAAGAAAAAAGTTTCAATATGTTCGTCATGCTGAGGCAAACACTACCAGTTTCAAAAAATCAACAATTCAATTGAAATCCATGTTGTTTTTGAGCAAAGGATTTCCGTATTGACCTTTGTAAAGTTGCACTTAAATATGTAAGGAATTGTAGAATGTGTGATCTGTATGCTGATTGCAAACTGACATATTTGATTTAAGTATTAAAAACTAAGTCTTTTACACTATCCCTTCAAAACCAATTTAAAATTTGTATGGAATTTCAATGATAGTTCTACTAAGAAGAGGCCTATTCAAGAAAATGAGTTAAATTCCTCTGAACTTTTTTCAACAAAAAATACATGAATAAATTGTGATGTTTCTTTTTTATTAAAATGCACAAATAAAAAATTAAAACTTTTGTATAACCAAACTAGTTTTAAAGCTTTTCAAAAAGTATCCTAGGCCACTTTTGGGCCATTAATTTCAACCAATCTCCTCAACGCATCTTTTTTATGACACCTTATAGGTATACAATATACCGTTTCAATTACTATTTGCAATGTTTTCTGTAGGAACTCAATAAATTATTAGAAAATTCAGTTGGTATCTCTATGGAAATAAAGTACATGTACAGGGTGTCCCGAAAGTATGCCCCCCCCCCCTAGGCAGACATATACCAGTGTCGTCATAGTATGTATCATATATCATTTTAAAGCTCACACAAAGTTACATTGATTCACCAAGTATCATGGTTCAACTCTCAAATGTGAAAAAATTTCAGGCATTTCAAAATTTAGTGTTTGGTCAAAATGAAGTTCAATTTTACACCAAATCACTGATCAATGTGTCCTTCCGGGCCATCGTAACAGCAGCAATTCTTTTCGGGTCGGATGGATATTGAGTTGGAAAAAGAGAACGGTGAGGGTAGAAACTCTAAGGAAACTCTTCTAAAGTACCTTAACAGGTTTTAAGAGGGTTATAAAATTCCACACCCCTATTTGAAGGGCTTTTAAGGTCATATCTGAAAATAATTGGTGCTGTTAACATGGCCAAGGGGGGACTCATTGACTAGTAATGTGGAGTAAAATTGGACTTTATTTTGACAAAACACTAACTTTTAAAATGACTGTAAGTTTTTCCCACTTGGGAGTTTAACCATGATACTTGGCAGATCAATGTAACTTTGGATAAGCTTTAAAATGATATATGAGACATACTATGAGGACACTGGAATATGTCTGCCTAGGGGGGGCCCCATACTTTCGGGACACCCTGTATACACCAACGATTTCTTCATTCACATGATAAATATTTAGGTAAAATCCTTTAGCTAAATTCTCATGCCATTTGAAGGTACAAAAATCATACCAAACGTACCTTTTAACTGTATGCATCAGAAGTAAGCACACAACCTTGACTAGGATGATAGGATCTAGTTGGATACTTCTTTACATCCACTAAACATCGTCCAGGCTGCAATATATGTAACATACAACTGTAGTTTAATGTCAACTGGATGTTATCTGACTTAACTTTACAACTTGACACAGAGGTAATCACCAACAAGTTCACATTCCTAATGATAAGAAAGTACGTCCTCAATGCTATCAAATAAAGCTACTTAAAGAATTTTGAGATAAATAAAACTTCCACCCCTTTGTGAGGTCATGCCACATAACCTCATTGTCATTGCTAAGATTGTTGAAAGTGCTGATATGATTTGTTGAAAGTACTAAAAGGGTATATGGTACACATCAATAAAATTGGTTTGACTTTGTTTGTCAATAAAGTACTTCATTTTCAAAGTGTTTTTCTTGGATTCCTTGTGAAAATAACTGTAATGAATGGAGCCAAATGAAGGGTGCCAGATCCACAAAGAATTAAATGAATTAACTTATATAAGAAGCAAGCAAAAAAAAGAAGTAGAAAAATTTTCTGAAAATTTTCCACTAGAGGCAATCTGCGCGAGATTCCATATTTTGGTTTGGTTTTTGGCGCATGCGTATTAAATCCAGCAATTTAATTGGTTCAAATTATTTTGACGCATGCGCAATGAATAACTTAATAAAACATTGAATTTTAGATAGATGTCACTTATGTTCATTATTTCACAGCAGTCCTTACCCATAATAAACCATATTTTGCGGGAATATTTTTGTTTCATGCCAAAACAAAAAGTATACGCCAAAAACAAATGTAATGACATAATATCAACCTGTCCCGAATTTGTAGACATTTGTTGTACAAACTTAACCGAACCAATGACAGAAAAGCAGTTTGAATCATGGGAATGACGTACTTCGGTTCCCTTAAAGAAAAACCGAACCAAATAAAAATCGAACCTCGCGCAGATTGCCCTGACTCAAATTTTCTGAATTTTTTCACTGAATTTTCTTGTTTTTTATACATTTTATCAAAACATTCTTCTTCACATTCTTTTCCAGGTACATAAGTATCACGCGGTCCTAACTTCGACCGTTAATTTGAATTTTTGACCTACCAGATGTTTGAAAATCAAGGATTGGAGTCTCATACTGCACCATTTTTCTTCAAACTTGTTCCATTCAAAGCATAACAAAAATCCCTTTCTGATTACCCTTTGCATTCGTTTGACTTCACTTCTTAAAAGAGAGCTTCGTCTTCACTCTTTCAAACTAAAATAAACCTGTGAACTCACCGCGCCAATCAGTGTTCGTCGGCCAAATTTGACCGACGTTCTATATATGGGCATTCCTTCTGACGTCATCGTTGAGCCCAGAATTGACCAATGACATACGCATATTTAATTAGAACGCATTTGGCGTATGTTTCTTCAAGCTCGCTGATTGGTGGAAGAAAGGTCAGCACGTAGGTCAGAAGTGATTTACTACCCAAACTGTCACCGGTACCCGTCCTGGGGGCGGGGCTACTTAACTGTAATATGGTCTCTACTAGGCAGAGTGTAGTTTAACTAGACTCTGCACGCAGGGTACTTTCTGATGGTACATTATTCTCTTAAACAGAGTCGATCCCTATTTCCAGCAGCATTTTGGTCCCCAGCTGTAAGTGGGCCTTCTAACAGCTGGGGACCAAAACGCTGCTAGAACGAGGGACTCTTTACAATAAAGTAATGCACAGACATAAAGGCAATTTTGTTTTGCTTTTAATGGTATAAGTTTGAAGAAAAACGTAGCAGTATGAGACTCGCAATCCTTGATTTTCAAGCATCTGATAGGTCAAAAATTGAAATTAACGGTCGAAGTTAGTACCGCGTGAGTATACTGGTAGTGCAAAAGTGAGAGATGTAGACATTGTGGAGAAGGAGTGATTCAAATTTGAAAAATAACATGTGACTCAATTGAGGGTTGCAGCAAAATTCCGAACATGCCCTGACCTAAAGGAAGCAAGTCAGATGAAGCATGGTCTAGTTGAAAGCCCATGGATGAAGCAAATAAGTCTGTTCTGCGCTCATAAAAGCACAGACTGGAAAGAACGTTCTGGCGAAAGGTTGATATCCTATCTAAGAAGACATATGAAGACTAGGAGTTTCAGAGAAGGTATTTTACGTCCCTGAGTAAAAGAAGGAAAAAATGAAAAAGGTAGAATATTACTCGAGTCTCTAGAGGGGATTTCATCTGGAATACTGTGAACTCTATTTGAAAAAAACCGGCCGTGGTGTCATAAATTTATTGAATATTTTAAAAATCGCCAGATAAATAAATCATTAAGGTCTCATGGAAGTTAACAGGAAATGACAAAACAAAAAATGACATTTAGCCATGCTGGATTTTGAAAAATTTTTGAACCAAGATAACAGAGTTCTGTTTGGACCTCCAGTCAGTTTAACTAGTTCCACATATCATTTACATGACTGGGAACACAATTGAAATGGTCAGAATGACCATAAACATGATAAAATAACCTTTTCAGCCCTCTGAAAATGTGACTGAAAAATAGCTAAAAGTAGGTGCTCAGGAAAGGTCAATCAACAGAATCTTTTGATTTTTTCAGAAAATGTGTCCAATTTATTGCTCTAAATGACACAATCTTTGAAATTTAAAAAAATTGTCTGAAACAATAATGGCTGTAGTAAAAAGGAAAATAGATCGATTTTCAATTCAGTTTTTTTAAATTTTTTCTTTTTCTAAGAATGATATCAAATTTGTTTAAATTGTATCATTTAGAGCAATATATTGGGCACATTTTCTGAAAAAGTCAAAAGATTCTGTTCAGTGACCTTTCCTGAGCACAGACTCTTAGCTATTTTTTAGTCACATTTTCAGAAGGCTGAAAAGGTTATTTTATCATGTTTATGGTCATTCTGACCATTTCAATTGTGTTCCCGGTCATTTAAATGATATGTGGAACTAGTTAAACTGACTGGAGGTCCAAACAGAACTCTGTTATCTTGGTTCAAAAAATTTTCAAAATCCAGCATGGCTTTGTCATTTTTTGTTTTGTCATTTCCTGTTAACTTCCATGAGACCTTAATCAAACCGGACCCAGCTCTGCTCCTATAAGAGATATGACATGATTTCATCAGGATTTCGTCTAAAATTAAAACAAAATGGCTCCAAGAAAAATGGCGATGTTCGAAAACTGGACGAAATGTCGTTAACGTCTGACATTAGTAACTGCAGGCTGTAAATTCTAAGTTAGCGATCCAGAAGATGTGAACTAATACATTGATCACTTTATGTGTGTTTTGGAATTTTTGGTGAGGTTATAAGACCAAAACTCGCAATTCAAATTGTGATGTGGAAAAATGGCGGACATATGATTTCAAATTTTATGATTACGACATGACCAGTTGTTCATGCAGGAATATATCTGTACTGGAAGGACACGATACAGTGGCCTTAGAAGAAGGTAAGTAGAATATGGCTGTGTTACATTCAAAAACAGTGTGACTGTCACCATAGGCAGAGCATTATTCGCACTACATGTACACATTCTTATTCTACTACATTGTAGCCTATATACCAGATTACCATAAAGGCTAAGCCTATCGAGTATGAATGGACTTATATAAACGCACTCAATCATTCTCATAGAGCATTTCCAGAAAACAATATTTCAAAATATTTGAAACTGAAACTAACCTAGAAAACTGGCCAAAGTTCGCATACATTTTAGCTTTTGTAGGATTATTACTTTAAAATAATGTTTGTATTGTTAGAATTTATGCAAGATTTATTGTTAAAATTGTGCTTAGAAGCATAAAACTTACAAATATATATTTTACCTGTCTCCCGCTATTGAAACCGGAAATTACAATTATCAAAGTAGAACATCACATTTGCTATACAAAATGTCGCTTTAGCGAACTGTATGTACAGGTTGTGCCAAAATTAATAAAGTAAATAGTAACACGAGCTTCTATATCAAGAGTCAGATATTTTGATTTGGTAGATGAGAGCTAGGAGAGATTATTGCTACACAGATCATACTGATTGTTGATTTGTAAGGTAGGGTCAATTTTATTAAGACTTACAGAAAGAATGGACCTGTCTCATGATATAATTCAATGCTTTACAAAGTATGTGATTTATGCCAAAAATAGCCTGTGGAAATTTGCTTTTCAAAGTTATTTCTTATTCAATGTGTCAAATCTACGGATTATCAGTCTTTGTATACTAATAATATTTTAAAAATTTAAAGATTTGAATGCACTAGTATACTATTCACATTTAAAAAAAAGCTTCTCAGGGTTATATAATGCCTTTCTTGTTGGTGTATCATCTATAATATGTATCATTTTTTGTTGTTTTGGTGCAATTCCTTGTCTTATCACTAAAATCCATCCCATTTTGAGAATATTTCATATTGCATTCCTTATGATGGCCATGGACCATTTTGAAAGAAATTTTATTTGTTACAATATGACATCATATTTCATATATCCGAGACTAACATTTATCTCTCAGCATACATACATCTGTATTAAGATTGCAGTCTGAAATCCAATGCAATCTTATTCATCAGAAAATGGATCTTGCAAAAAACTATTATTATGTTCCCATTAGATGTAAAAAATGATCATATATAGAATGATTTGCAACAGAATTATCTTTAAAATGGTATGTGTCATGTACTGCATAATGTAACATACATGTAGATGAATTTTTATTTCAGTTTTAATCTTTGCATTGTCAATTGCCCACCCTGTATTTGGTGTACCAGTAGTGTGGTGGCCCAATTTGCATAAATGATTATTTCTTCTGCTAACCTGACCCTTATATTTGGGTCTAAAAGCTTAGCAAGTAGAAGAGATAAAGATATGGTTAAGTAAGAAAATGTCACTAAGTTACAAAAAATGTCCTCAAATCAATCCATGTCTTCACTCTATTAGATATCTAAATTCTAATATCTAAATATTGTCTATTTATTGTTTAACTGTCTATTTCTTACTCTTTTGCCTTACTTTGTTCATTTGCCTTACTTACAGCATCACATTTGATAATCAACAGCTTTGGACTACATGTATTCATAGTTAATTGTGTGTAAACTTAAGGCTACTGAAAAGTCAAGGTGCCCCTCTAGACACATATGTCTGGTCTTTTTCATTTACAATCAGACAATATTGGATCATACTTTCAAATGAAAAATTACAACTGCCAGAAGTAATGATTTTTTGCTAATAAGCATATTAGATGCACAATACAATATATTGTACTTATATTTAGAAATACAATATTTTTCCGTAGCCTTACATTTAGATCTTGTGGTACTCCCCCACTACCTCTACAATTAGAGCAGGATTGATCCAAGACTATTTTGTAACCAAGAGCAACATGATAAAATGCCACAGTGCTATTGGATTTTATATTAATATGCCTTAAATAGTCTTTCATTTATGAAAAAGGTCAATGCCAGTGTATGGGTTAAGAGGTCAAAGGACAATGCCAGGGTATGGATTAAGAGGTCAAAGGTCAATGCCAGTGTATGGATTAAGAGGTCAAAGGTCAATATCAGTGTATGGATTAAGAGGTCAATGCCAGTGTATGGGTTAAGAGGTCAAAGGTCAATGCCAGGATATGGATTAAGAGGTCAAAGTCAGTGTATGGATTAAGAGGTCAAAGGTCAATGCCAGTGTATGGATTAAGAGGTCAAAGTCAGTGTATGGATTAAGAGGTCAAAGGTCAATATCAGTGTATGGATTAAGAGGTCAATGCCAGTGTATGGATTAAGAGGTCAAAGGGCAATTCAAGTGTATAGATTAAGAGGTCAATGCCAGTGTATGGGTAAAGAGTTCAAAGGTCAATGCCAGTGTATGGATTAAGAGGTCAATATCAGTGTATGGATTAAGAGGTCAATTTAATATTTCCATGAATAAGAAGTGAATCATATCAGCTCCCTGGGTATGTTAGCTCATATAACATGTATAACATGCTTTATAGAATGATAGATGGGATTATTAAAACTGTTAACAAAATAAAGACTAAGGTTGAATTTCAGTCACATACCATTTTAATTAAACAAAAACAAAGTTCTGAATTCTAGCGTATACATATATTGTACTCTGTATCTTACATTTGTACATCATATTTACATATACACAACAAGAGTTATAAATTAAAATAATAAAAATGCACAAGTACAAATAATACAAAAAAAATGCAAGAGCAATTATGTTGGACGGAATAATGTGTAAAACTATAAATAAAGTAAGTGGCCACAAAATAAAGTGTCAATGTAGAAAGAAGAACAAACTTGAGATATCTGAAAAAACGTTTTTTATTTTTCAGTTCTCAGAAAGATTTTGACCTTTTTAAGATCTTTGGATTCCTACATCTTTTTGCCAAATACTTAACCCCCTCCCAAAGGTCTGCCCAGAGCATGTGAGATTTGAAAAGTTAAATACAGTAAAATGTGTATATCTGAACACCTCTTTAATCCAAACATCTCTCAATGTCAACACTTTTATCGATCCCAATTTGTTATCTCCCATTGACTCAAATATTTAAAAAAAACATTGAAATGTGAACACCTGCGAATCAGGACATTTTTTTCAGTCCAGTGGCATTCAGAATAGAAAGGTCTTTCTGTATGTCTTTCTATATATATATGTCTTTCTTTCTATATTATGGGACTGTAATCAGTATGCTCACTTTGCACAATCTTAACTCTGATTTTTCAAAGTACTGTGTATGATAAAACTTGATAAAGATGGCGCCACCTATCAGCACATGAAAATGATTCCGTTCATAACTTCATTCACTCATGAAAGTCCCTTCTGTCAGCTTGGGGACCCAATTACAATGTCAATGTTTTGGTGGCTAAGGTGAAGCTTTTATGAAAACTTTGAGCAAGATATGATTTCAAATGAAACCTAAAACTATCTAGCTAAACTGCATTGTAGAAATCTCCATGGCAAGTTTGTTGTGATGCATATCTTCAATATTTAGTATTTACACAAGTTGGAATGTCTAGTGAGTTGCCCCTGGATTGCAACATGTCAGCCCCTTATCTTCTTTGGTTGCCTCCTATGTTTCCTCTGTGATATATTCCATATCTGAAAATAAATTTGCGTTGTAAGCATTTTCTTGTATTTAACCATTTTTCATGTATTTAAGACCATCTTTACAACTGAAAGATTGTAAATTCTATACAACTGAAAGGTTGAGTTAAGCCAGGCCCGTGATACATGATTTTGGAATAATCTTTGGCCAGGGGGGAGTTTGCTCAAAACTACAACCTCCTGGCTATGGGCCTGTACATATAAGCAGTACACAAATATATCTTACCTGTTATCCTGGTGACCATAGTCTGTGTTTGAATAATTTCCTCTCCCAGCTGAGAATTGTTGCATGTTCCCTGCTCCTTGCCTGACATTGTTACTTGATGACATCATAGCCTCATTAGGTCTATTCCCAGCCCTCCTACGATTTGCACCTGCAATGTGTAATGCATATTGTTCAATCAGTGTATTGCTTCAAATACCTTGGTAGATCAAGATGTATGTACAGTGTATGTGATTTACAAAAGGTCCAAGAAAAAGTTTGATTCTGAAATCATGATAGAATCACACAAAATTCTGTATCTTTTGGGGAATCTCGTAATTTTCTTGTTCCTCCATAAAAGTGCAATTTAAAGATTAAGTGCAAGGCAAAATTTATTTAGCAATAAGTTTGGCAAAATTGAGTAGGGAGTAGGGACCACTGTCTAAAAGTCTATTGAGTATCTTACCTCTGGGTAGAGCAGGTGGGGGAACCTGCTCTGTGGGTTGTATCATCACCTCCTCCCCTGTGGCTGTAGTATAGGTGGGCCAGGGTTTCTCAGGGGGCTGGGCAAGCTGCATGTTGGTCACCTTGACTGGGATCTGCATCTTGTACTGTCCTATACCTGGTAGTACTGTCTCCATGGTGGTGGTGGCTTGAGGGGCCTAGAAAGGGATAAATATTAATCACTGCATGCAACTTTTAGGAAACTGAGGAGAGAACAATTCAATATAAGAAGCAAGTGACAGTCAACATAACAAGAAACCACAAAAATCAATCAATCTGCTCCATTTTACTGATTGTAAGATTAAGTTCTGGACATATACACAGCATTAACATGCAAAATGTCACCACCTACCATTTGTTCCAGACGCTCATTGATGGACACCAAAGTTGGAGACTTTATTTTCTGGTGGTGACATAATAATGTCACACAACATTCAAATTGTTCCCCTGCAACCTGTGGAGACATGTACTATTTGTATAGATAAGAAGGACACATTTAAAACACTTAACCTCTACTAGTTTTACCTGTTGTTCCATAAAGTACAGTTCTGCTTTGGTACGTTCCTCATCAGTGACAGCTATGCCATCTATAATCATCAGATTGGGCATCCTGTACACCAACATTGGCCTGTGGAGAAGTCTACGCGACACCTACAGCAACATTCACACTTATTCATATATCAAACACAATAAAATGATGATATATTAAACAAGCAGCATAGCACAACCATTTGACATTCCATATGTAGCACTTATAAGGTATGGATTAAGGTTATGAAATATTTGAATGTTTATCAAGTTAATGAGCTGTCAAATTAAGGATTCTTCAAGGTGATGTTGCACAAAAGGAGAGCATCCAGAAAACATGAATGCATCACCTGTTTATAACTTTATACTGTATCTCACCTTCCAAAATTATTCATGCATGAAAGTAACCATTATTCTTTTATTATTTATAGCATTTTCTGATATGCAGCGTAGCATCATAAAAATGTTATATTACTACATAGTACCCCGGACTTGTCTGACACCATACTAACTTTCCAGCAATTCTAATATCAATATAACTTACTGCATTACTGACAACAGATAGTTCTATCATATTTGGGAGCACTTCTAGTTTCTCAAGCTCTGAGATATCCTGTAACAAAACATGATGGATTGTTTTTACATTTAGAACAAAAAATATTAGGAATAAAAAAATATCCAAAAAATATGTTAGGCTTATTTCTACCATGAAACAATCAAAGCAAAGTTGAAGAATTGTAGTCGAACATTAGAATCAAAATCTGGCTTCAATCTATCCATATATCTGTGAAGAAACATCATAACATCTTTATAAACCCATTTTTGTGAGACCGCGTTTGGCTAATTAATTTGAAGAGAGAGTGTGATCCATGAAGCAAACATACAGTTATAATATGGTGTCATTGTGCATATGTGCCAAAATAATTTGTCCCTGACCCCTCCCATTCAAAGGCAAGTTGGAACCAGGAATTCAAATCAAAATTACGTAAATAAATACTATTCCATCTCACCTGTATTCTATTCATGCCCAGGTACAAACGTTGCAGGTTCTCCAGGCATGCCATGTTGGAGAGCTCCTTGATCCTGTTCTCCTCCATATGTAGCTCCTGTAAGTTCCACTGGTTAATGAATGACTCCTCTGACACACATTTGATCTTATTCCTGTCCAGTACTAGCTCTCTTAGGTCCTGAAGACCCTCTAGACCATCTATCTTACTGATCTCATTACCTGAAATGATAAACCTTGTAAATGTAAGACAGTTATGAAGAAATATGTGTGACAAATGCAATTCTCACTTTGGGTCACTTTGGCATACCAGACATAGAAAGTTTCCAGATGAAAATACAAGAACACAAATGTGTACAAAATGTCCCCACCTATGGGTGATCCCGTCAAATGGTTATCCTAAAAATGAGTAGACAAGACTTTACAGACACAATTTGAGGACGGAATATCAAAAATGGCCACCTTAAAATTTATCCAGAATGCCAAAAAATTAGTCAGTTCTAGATTTTCATACTAAGAACCACCCCTGAAAATTTGAAATTGATCTCCCAAACGGTTCACCTGGAAATGCGTAGACAAAACTTAACAGACAAGATTTTAGGACGGAAAATCCAAAATGGCTGCCTTGACATTTATCCAGAATGCAAAAAAACTAATCTCTTCTAGATTTTCATACTAAGAATCATCCCTGAAAATTTGAAATTGATCTACTAAACGGTTCACCTGGAAATGCGTAGACAAAACTTAACAGACAAGATTTTAGGACAGAAAATCCAAAATGGCTGCCTTGACATTTAACCAGAATGCCCAAAAACTAATCAGATCTAGATTTTCATACTAAGAATCATCCCTAAAAATTTGAAATTGATCTACCAAATGGTTCACCTAAAAACGCGTAGACAAGACTTTACAGACAAGATTTTAGGACAGAAAATCCAAAATGGCTGCCTTGACATTTACCCAGAATGCCAAAAAACTAATCAGATCTAGATTTTCATACTAAGAATCATCCCTGATAATTTGAAATTGATCTACCACACGGTTCACCTAAAAATGCGTAGACAAGACTTTACGGGCAAGATTTTAAGATGGAAAATCCAAAATGGCTGCCTTGACATTTATCCAGAATGCCAAAAAAACTAATCAGATCTAGATTTTTATACTAAGAATCATCCCTGAAAATTTGAAATTGATCTCCCAAACAGTTCACCTGGAAATGTGTAGACAAGACTTTACAGACAAGATTTTAGGACGGATAATCCAAAATGGCTGCCTTGACATTTACCCAGAATGCCCAAAAACTAATCAGATCTAGATTTTCATACTAAGAATCATCCCTGAAAATTTGAAATTGATCTACCAAACGGTTCACCTGAAAATGCGAAGACAAGACTTTACAGACAAGATTTTAGGACTGAAAATCCAAAATGGCCGACAATAAAAAAGTGATTATGAGTTTTTGCTGATTTCTTTTTCCAAAATTATCACATATAACATAGGCTTTTACAACAAAGTACACCTGAAATTATTTATAAAGCTACAAAATAGTTAAAGTATGAACACTGAACAAGGCACAGACGTGAACAATATCGTACCTAAAACACAGCATTGTGGTCTTGTTGATCAAGAAAGCAAGATGGCCGCAGAAAAGTTAATCAGCTCTAGAACTTATCACTGTGTAACATATGTAAAAATTTGAACTGTTTGGCTGGAAACCTGTAGACAAGCCTTGAAAGTGAAAATTTTAGGACGGAAAATCCAAAATGGCCACCTTAAAATTTACCCAGAATGCCCAAAAACCAATCAGTTCTTGACGTTGATATGTAGAAACATCCCTGAAAATTTCAGATGAATCCCTCAAAAGGTTTGGCTGGAAACCTGTAGACAAGTCTTGAAAGTGAAGATTTTAGGACAGAAAATCCAAAATGGCCACCTTAAAATTTAACCAGAATGCCGAAAAACTAATCCGTTCTTGACGTTGATATGTAGAAACATCCCTGAAAATTTCAGATGAATCCCTCAAAAGGTTTGGCTGGAAACCTGTAGACAAGTCTTGAAAGTGAAGATTTTAGGACGGAAAATCCAAAATGGCCACCTTAAAATTTACCCAGAATGCCCAAAAACTAATCAGTTCTTGACGTTGATATGTAGAAACATCCCTGAAAATTTCAGATGAATCCCTCAAATGGTTTGGCTGAAAACCTGTAGACAAGTCTTGAAAGTGAAGATTTTAGGACGGAAAATCCAAAATGGCCACCTTAAAATTTACCCAGAATGCCCAAAAACTAATCAGTTCTTGACATTGATATGTAGAAACATCCCTGAAAATTTCAGATGAATCCCTCAAATGGTTTGGCTGGAAACCTGTAGACAAGTCTTGAAAGTGAAGATTTTAGGACGGAAAATCCAAAATGGCCACCTTAAGATTTACCCAGAATGCCCAAAAACTAATCAGTTCTTGATGTTGATATGTAGAAACATCCCTGAAAATTTCAGATGAATCCCTCAAATGGTTTAGCTGGAAACCTGTAGACAAGTCTTGAAAGTGAAGATTTTAGGACGGAAAATCCAAAATGGCCACCTTAAGATTTACCCAGAATGCCCAAAAACTAATCAGTTCTTGACGTTGATATGTAGAAACATCCCTGAAAATTTCAGATGAATCCCTCAAATGGTTTGGCTGGAAACCTGTAGACAAGTCTTGAAAGTGAAGATTTTAGGACGGAAAATCCAAAATGGCCACCTTAAGATTTACCCAGAATGCCCAAAAACTAATCAGTTCTTGATGTTGATATGTAGAAACATCCCTGAAAATTTTAGATGAATCCCTCAAATGGTTTGGCTGGAAACCTGTAGACAAGTCTTGAAAGTGACGATTTTAGGACAGAAAATCCAAAATGGCCACCTTAAGATTTACCCAGAATGCCTAAAAACTAATCAGTTCTTGACGTTGATATGTAGAAACATCCCTGAAAATTTCAGATGAATCCCTCAAATGGTTTGGCTGGAAACCTGTAGACAAGTCTTGAAAGTGAAAATTTTAGGACGGAAAATCCAAAATGGCCACCTTAAGATTTACCCAGAATGCCCAAAAACTAATCAGTTCTTGATGTTGATATGTAGAAACATCCCTGAAAATTTCAGATGAATCCCTCAAATGGTTTGGCTGGAAACCTGTAGACAAGTCTTGAAAGTGAAGATTTTAGGACGGAAAATCCAAAATGGCCACCTTAAGATTTACCCAGAATGCCCAAAAACTAATCAGTTCTTGATGTTGATATGTAGAAACATCCCTGAAAATGAATTTTTGAAGGTGATATCTGTAGTGGTTTTGGAGAAAACTGCCGGACGTACGGACGGACGGACAGACAGACGCGCCTAGGCCGACAATATGGCCCCACACTATGTGGTGGGGACATAATAAAACAGTTTTTTTGATTCTAATTCTTTAATCAGAAATATGCAGAAAACACTGCAAAACAACACCATACAAGGCATTAACTAGCAAAATGTTACCACGCACCAGCCATTTGTTACAGATGCCCACCACCAAATGCTGAATGCCAAACACTATCCACAAAAAACTTGGAGACTTAACAATATGTCAACACTTGTGGTGGCGATTAAACAATATCAAACCCAAGATTGAAATAGATGTAGTACCATACCTTGGAGGAACAGTGCTTTGAGTGATGAGAGTCTGCTAAGCTGTAAGGCACCGAGATCCTTGATTCCATTGTGACTGAAAATACACATACAATGTACAGTTATAACAAGAAACAACAAGAGAAGTATCATTTTAACACAATACAGATGTGTATAATATGACTTTTTATATTTTCATTTAAATGTAAAATGATTTTCAAGCTACTTTTTAATGCAAGCTCTTGTGATTTGCTCTATTCGGAAATTTATGTGCCTGGTAGTTTCAAAAACTCTTGGAAAAAGTAATTCTATCTTGTTCCTTCGACCTAGATGTGAAAATATTTTCAAGCAGAAACTTTTTAACTTGAGCTCTTTTGACTTGCTCTTTAGACTTAAATGTAGACAGTGTTACTATACCCCAGATGTAGGACTTCCAGATTCTCTAGTATAGGAGTGTATTGCTCAGGATTTAGTATACTGGACATAACTTGGGATCCCTTCTGTCTGTTAGCTCCTGCACCCTGTGACGGTTGCTTTGGCCGGGGTACTATACACTCTATATGGTTGTTATTCAGACACAAGACTCTCAGGTTGACAAGGTATATAAGACCACTGAAGTTTGTTAAGTTGTTCTGCTCTAAGTTAACACTGGAAAGAAAATGGACAGTTTTTTGGGCTGGATAGTACTTTTGCTACCCTTTGCATTCGTTAAAGAGCTTCATCTTCACTCTTTCAGTTTACAATAAATCTCACAGAGCCAATCAGAATTCGTCGTCGAAATATGGACGACTTTCTATATGGTCATTTCCTCTGACATCCCCACATAGTTAATGAGCACGTATTTAGCACATGTTCCTTCCACTTCGCTGATTGGTTGAAAAAGGGTCAGCGTGGTAGATTTTAAATGATTTATAACCCGGGCTGTCACGGGCACCAACCTTGTGGGTGGGGCTGCTAAACTGTAATATAGTCTATACCCTAGGCAGAGGGTAGTTTATAACTAAACTCTCCGCACAGGGTATACTTTTGCATTTTTAGTGGAATTGCAATTTACATGTATTCAATTCAAAGCTGCTTTTGGAAAGGGGACCTTAATCTGGTTATGCATCAAGATCAAAGCAGCTGAAATATCGACAGAGTTATCACATAGTGTATTAGCCACATTTATGAAAACTACATCAGCAAAATGATTTTTACAAGATTCTTGCTTGTTCATAGAGCAACATGTAGACTCCACAATAAGATATTGTACAATAGTCCACTTACCTCCTAAGGTTAACAAATTGCTCTAGACTACCAAGGTCAACGGTCCTGACAGAACAACTGGGAAAGTCAAGCTCCCTGACGTGAGTGAAGTTGGAATGTCCTAATTTCTCTGCCACAAAGTCCTGCGTCAAGCGACCACCAAACATATCCCTAGCATTGTTAGCTTCTGAAGACTCCTACAAAATAATAAGGGAAGTTTATTTTATCATCAAAGCATTAATTAAAGAGTCAACAATATTTCTATAAATGTAATAACATAATATACTAGTAGAGTAAAAACAGTGGAACACCTCTGTAAGTGGAACACCTCTGTTAGTGGAACAACTCTGTAAGTGGAACCCTTTTAAAATCCTGTGACTCGTTGATTATAATATTTAATGAACAAGTGAACATCTCCCTCGTGTATCACGTTTTATTTCACTATGACTATTACACAGCTCCATAAATGTCTTTACTTTTTGAAAGCAAACCACTTACTATTGCAATTCCATCAAGAGCTTTGAGTGTCCTGAGGTGATAGATGACAAACAGTCGGTAGTTGGTCGTACTCTGCCCTACTGGGTTACCATATAAATCCAGGATAACAAAGTTGTTCAGATTCTGAAAGAGCAAATTCAGGATAATAATGTTGCTCAGTTATAAAATAGCTGATTTTTGTTCATTTCTCATTCAAAAGTCAGCAACATGAATGAAAAATTACATGTGAAAATGTTAAATACAAACAGATCAAAACATAAATTGCAAAATTTTGTCTTGTGTCTCTAACCCCCCCCCCCCCTCATCTGCTCACCACCTTGTGGAGAGGAGTGTATTAGGGATAGCAAGGACGTATGTAGCTCCATGGAAAATTTAAAATAATCTTGTACAAAAGACACTAAACATAATTTAGCTAAATGTACTTCCTATGAGAGTATTTGTTCATACCTTAAGATGGAAAATCTCTCTTATATTTGTGATATTATTGTTGCCAATATACAGCTCAATGAGTGTAGAGACCCTATGCAGCCCTAGTAATGTTGTTAGTTTATTGTTGTCTACAGCGAGACAATGCAGATGTACCAGCTTCTCTAGGCCGGCATTCTCCAAGGTGCTAATGTAGTTCTCTGAGAGACTCAGACGTCGTAGCTTTGTTAGTTTACCAAGGTTCTCTACCCGACTGATGCAATTTTTGTCCAAGGACAGCTCTTCTAGGTTAACACAGGCATCTAAGCCCTAAAATGGATATAAAACATATATTCAAGTACTATCAAGAACACAAAAGAACTACTGTTCACATAGGCAACACTAGTGCCCTATAATCTGATAATATACACACTATTTTCACCCTCCACATTTTCAAATCTATAATACGGATTCATGAGACATCGTACTACTTCAATTCTTAATTACAGTGATAGCGTTTTAATGAGATGATTTACCATTCACTAATTTCTGTAACCTTTGACCTCAGCTATGTTTCATAAGTCCTCACCTCTATTTTAGTGATGTCATTGTCATTGAATGACGCCCACTTGAGATTCTCCAGTCGTTCAAGGTTAGAAAGTTTTGAGATATGCTGGCCATCTAAGTTTAATGTTGTCACCTGGAAAGAAGTGTGTTAAAGTATACTGGGTGATCAGACACCAAATTGAAAGTGTATTTCTTGTATACTGGGTGATCAGACACCAAAATGAAAGTGTATTTCTAGTATACTGGGTGACCAGACACCAAATTGAAAGTGTATTTCTAGTATACTGGGTGATCAGACACCAAATTGAAAGTGTATTTCTAGTATACTGGGTAATAAGATGCGAAACTGAAAGTGTATTCCTAGTATACTGGGTGACCAGACACCAAATTGAAAGTGTATTTCTAGTATACTGGGCGATTAGACACCAAATTGAAAGTGTATTTTTTTTAGTATATTGGGTGATCAGACACTAAATTGAAAGTGTATTTCAAGTATATTGGGTGATATGACACCAAATTGAAAGTGTATTTCTAGTATACTGGGTGACCAGACACCAAATTGAAAGTGTATTTCTAGTATACTGGGTGATCAGACACCAAATTGAAAGTGTATTTCTAGTATACTGGGTAATAAGATGCGAAACTGAAAGTGTATTCCTAGTATACTGGGTGACCAGACACCAAATTGAAAGTGTATTTCTAGTATACTGGGCGATTAGACACCAAATTGAAAGTGTATTTTTTTTAGTATATTGGGTGATCAGACACTAAATTGAAAGTGTATTTCAAGTATATTGGGTGATATGACACCAAATTGAAAGTGTATTTCTAGTATACTGGGTGATAAGGTGCGATACTGAAAGTGTATTTCTAGTATACTGAGTGATCAGACACTAAATTGAAAGTGTATTTCAAGTATATTGGGCGATTAGACACCAAATTGAAAGTATATTTCCAGTATACTGGTGATAAGATGCGAAACTGAAAGTGTATTTCTAGTATACTGGGTGATCAGACACCAAATTGAAAGTGTATTTCTAGTATACTGGGTGATAAGATGCGAAACTGAAAGTGTATTTCTAGTATACTTGGTGACCAGACACCAAATTGAAAGTGTATTTCTAGTATACTGGGCAATTAGACACGAAATTGAAAGTGTATCTATTGTTTATAGTATGATCAGACACAAAACTGAAAGTGCCAAATTGAAATGTGACATTTTCTTCAAAATGACATAAATGGTATGAAGAGATACATGTATTTATTCCAATCTTGGGCTCTTAATATGTCAAAGTGTTTAAAAATGTTCCATCTTTGAATGATGCGTATAACAAACATTTATATACTGATATCTTAAATGCAATTCACATTTGCACATGTACAAATCCATACCTTAGAGTACCATAAGTTGTCTTGTTCCCCAACTCTATCAGGTTTATGTCGACTAGTTTGAGCAAGTACTTGAGCGTAGGAATTCAAACTGAGGCTCCTTGGCCGTGATTGGTCAGTTCTTGACTGAGCCAGTAGCGACACCTATGGAACAATACAAAATACACACTAATTAAGTAAAAACACATATCAGGAGCATGGCTGGCTTTTAATATTTTTTCACGACTTAATAAATTAACTTTAGATAACAAACATATTTTGAATAATGATCAACATGATGAAGAATGTATCCTTGAAATGATCAACATGATGAAGAATGTATCCTTGAAATGATCAACATGATGAAAAATGTATCCTTAAGTGAGTTTTGTGGTTGCTGATAGTCAACAAATCGACATATAATATGAAAAAGTATCTAAGGTACCTGAGATATTCTGGATCCTGCAGCCATACGTAAGGCAGCCGTGTTCTCGGATTCAATGACTGGGGTGCCATCTAACATCTGTAATGACTTCAGTCGACCTATTGCACGTAATCTAAGACCATCCTCCTAAATCATACATAATGGGTTGATCAACAAGTACATGTATTTGGATAATTGATCAATAAGTATTTGGATAATTATGGTCAATGAAAAATAAGCCATCAAGAGAAAAATGTAGTCTATGGAAATCTGTAAATATAGACTAACTGCACAGAAAAGGTGGTAGTATTGTATTTGCCAACTACATGATGACATAAGACATTAAATATTTGCTGCTTCTTTCAATGTGAGAAACTATCAATTGATAATATATTAAACCAAACACACTGGCTGTACAGACAAGGAGTTGGTTACCCTATGGCCTCCACACACAAACTGGAGTTCCCACACACATAGGGGTGTGGGGGGGTTCCTACATTCAGCAAGGGGTTCCTAAACCCAAACTCCCAGAGGTGTTCCCAAACCCAACAAGGGGTCTTCTAACACCTACCAAGCCGAAGGGATGTCTCAAATCTCAATTCACACCAACCAAATAATGTTTCAACACTTATTAAGGTGCATTTACTGAAATTAAGTACCTTCTGCCATCGGTTATGTAAGGTATTCAGGAACTCCAAGTGAGGAGTATGTTTGCGTAAGATCGACAGTTCTTCTCTGGTTGAGTGTAGCAGATTCCAACTCAGGTCCAGGTGCTTCAGTTTGGTCATACCCTACAATGTAACAAAAATTCAATGAAGCTTTTTTAGTTCACACCTTATAATGTAATTTCAATGAATTTCAATAAAACCTGTATATCTAAACATCTCTCTAATCCAAGCACCTCGAAATATAAAAACTTTTTATTCTCCCATTGATAATCATACTATGAGCTAAAAAGAACTAAAATACTTATTCACTTTTGGTCAGCCCCAGATGCATTCACATTAAACAGAATTTAACTTAGACTTTCTGTTTACTTTGGAAAATCCTTTCTCATTCAAACTGTATTTGTTCCTAATCTTCTGATGCCTTAACATATCCACTGACTTTAAGAACAACCAAACACTGAACTAAGTATTAATAAAGACTGAAGTCTGGCCACATACCTTCATTCCATCAAGGGTCATTATTTTATTATGACTTGCATCCACATATTCCAAACCCTGAAATCAAAATTAAACATTTAATGCCGCAATAAATTCTCAATCAACCTTCCAAATTAATCAACAATAATTACTTGAACAAACAGAACAGAAATAAATACTTTGAACATAAATCGTCTAAATTATGGTATAACATATATAACTACTTTTATATTTGTAGTTTCAATGATATATTGTTTGTGCTTTTTGTAATTTGTATTTTGTGTTTCTTTTGAAAAATAATTTTATTTAAAAAATAAAAATATCAGAAAGAGTAAAAATTATTTCATATGAGGTTTATGTAGAAATCCTCTTAAAGAACTGATACAGAACTTTTTGATGGCCATCAGAATTATGAGTAGTCAAACTGACTGAAATCATTGTTGAAATACTTTATCTGGCCTAACACCAATAGAACATGACAATACATGTTCTTGTACATGACTCACCAAATGTGTTATATCATCTAATTTCATAAGCTCATTGAAGCTGACAATTAGTTTCCTCAATTGAGGCAATGAAGCCAAGTTCTTGAGACGTGTCAGTCCATTGCCATGTAAGTTAAGCTCTACAATATCTAGCAATGAGTGGACATTGCAGTGCTTTAGGATAGTCTCATCAGTTAACTGAACAATTCTGAAATAAAAGAATCATAAAATACAATACATGAATTAGAAAGAGAATTCTGTAGTTAACACCTATCAACAATGGAAATTTTTTCTCGGCAAAAATGTTCAGTATACACAGGTTTCACAGTCCCTCTTAGAATTTGCAACTGATGTGCAACTACCTTAAGGTTTAAGAGAGTTGTTTACTAGAGTGCCACTAACTCTTTTATTATTTCCTTCTTCAACATTTTACAATACAAAGTTATAAGTCAGCAGGAGTATTAGAAGAAAAAAACAACAAAATACAAATATTTTCACAATAATTTTGTCATTTCTAGTTCGTTTTGAAATAGAAATGCTATGTTTAGATGTTCCCCATATTTAAACTTGCTTATGCAGTGTTTTGCGATAAGTATGCCACTAACGATCCTCACCTTGGTCTGGTTTTAACTTGTGGTGTCATGTTGAGTATTTCATCATTACTCACCTTGGTCTAGTTTTAACTTGTGGTGTCATGTTGAGTATATCATCATTACTCACCTTGGTCTAGTTTTAACTTGTGGTGTCATGTTGAGTATATCATCATTACCCACCTTGGTCTAGTTTCAACTTGTGGTGTCATGTTGAGTATATCATCAATACTCACCTTGGTCTAGTTTCAACTTGTGGTGTCATGTTGAGTATATCATCAATACTCACCTTGGTCTAGTTTTAACTTGTGGTGTCATGTTGAGTATATCATCATTACCCACCTTGGTCTAGTTTCAACTTGTGGTGTCATGTTGAGTATATCATCAATACTCACCTTGGTCTAGTTTTAACTTGTGGTGTCATGTTGAGTATATCATCATTACTCACCTTGGTCTAGTTTTAACTTGTGGTTTCATGTTGAGTATATCATCATTACTCACCTTGGTCAAGTTTTAACTTGTGGTGTCATGTTGAGTATATCATCATTACTCACCTTGGTCTAGTTTTAACTTGTGGTGTCATGTTGAGTATATCATCATCATTACTGTCATCTACTGCCCCAGTGTTTACCAGTCCCTTAACATCCAGAGTGTCACTGTCCCCATCGACTATTCCCATGAATGGATTCTTTGGTTTAAACTGTAACACAATAAGTACATGTATGTGCTTCAGACAGTTACAATAAATACAAATAGAATAGTTACAAACATGCACCTTTATAATGTGCAATTGATGTGCAACTATCTTTGAAGATTTAACATATTAACATCTATAGAAAATTCAGTTTTATCAAAGTCTATGAGAATGCTCTCACGATTTTTTTAAAATCAAATTATGGGGTATTTCAAGATCAGTGAAGAGATTTAGCCCTTTTAAACCAATACCTGGATCCTCTTATGATCACATTAGCAATATCCTGTTTCATAGTACTTACCCTGGTAATGTACTCAAAGTCTATGACATATTCTGGTAGCACCATTTCATGGTCAAAGACGAACCACTCACACTGTCGGGATAGGCAATCACAAGATGTAGTGCTAGTAGTAGTACTCCCAGCTATCAATGCTGCTTGAGTCTTGCCAGAATCTGACATATCAACATGTCCACCTGAATTATAAAATACATGTACAGAAATGGTTAAACAAGGCAATAACATGCAAAATGTCACCACCTGCTATTTGTTACAGATGCTGATTGCCAGACACCAACCGCCGAACACCATCCATAAAAAATTGGAAATTATAATAATATGTCACCGCTTGTGGTGGTGATATAAAAACCATGCTAATAATGTTTTCCTTACAATCTTATATCATTTTCTCTAAATATGAATTCAGATATCTGATCAAATATGGAAGTTGTGTAAGATGTAAGATAAGTTATGTTCCCTTTTTAAGTTTTTGCCAGATAATTTTTTTAAAAAAGAGGACTATTTCAAAGTCAGATCTGTTGGACTTTCCAAAGGCAGTAATGATGAAGGCAAAAATAATTGTAAATTGTGAAAAATATTACTGTCAACTTGTCTCTAACCCTTCTTGTCCTTTAATTAACAAGCAATTTCTAAAATGACTACAGCATTTCCAAACCAGACATGCTTACCAGAATTTGTGGCTACTTTATCAACCTGTGTCCTGGGTCTGTAGACTGTTTCAACATCTTTGTAGTTGGATGAAAATATCCTGGAAAACATCCAAGTTATCTATTGGAGAACTTTTGTTTTTTCATGTTTGAAAGTAATACTATTTAGTCATTATTCATTATTTGACATTAATGTTATATAAAAAAGTTACATTATTTGAACACCTGATTGGAGATTATCTAATGAATAAAACCAAGTTTATCTGACAATGACTTCTCCAGGAGTTATTGCATAAAAATAACAGCAAAAATATAATATAGAAGTATAGTACAACCATTCTGTATTAACTTACAATTTGTTGTTGTCAGATGTAGCAGCCTTTTCACTCTTACCCAGGTAAACCTTTGCTACAACCAGGACCCCTGTACAAACACATAGAAGTTCATATCAAGAACCATAAACGAATGTTAGGATACATATCACATATAGAGTATATATCGCAAAAGAAAGGGGATGAGATTGAGAGAAGGGTTGCTTATCAGTTTAATACATATTAGTATAATAATAATGGTTCAACTGCCTCACTGAAACATATTGAAGATTTGTATGACACAAGATCAAATCCCCCTTCTCTCTAAGTGGCCCATGGCAATCTGGTAACAGGGAAAATATTATAGAGCATGTTTTTATTCTTTTGCTCCAAAATAAGTCATTTCTATCTTAAAATTAATAGGTACTTTGCTTTATAGTTTATCTTCATTTTATATACACTGTACTAACCATGTCTATATGGACATGTATCTTGATATGGCTTGTTTTTAGCCTGTTTGGTGAGGTATTCTATCCTGTGCTGATCTGCTATGGTAAGACTGTTGGTCAAAGGTACAGCACCATCCTTCCCTAGTTGCTATAACAACAAAAGTACAAATTAGTGAAGGACATAGGAGGTTTAATTCAACCAAATAATACAAACTATCAAACTATGTCAAGATTTGTTGAGTAATTTGGCATTTTGTGGATTTTAGATATGAATTGCATCTTAAAATAAAAAGTAACCCATAATAGATAAATGAGAATGTTGACAATAAGTCAAACACAAATAATAAACATTGCTGCCTTTAATTGATGTTGTATGAATATTCACCAAAAATGACAAGTGATATTAAAATATAACAGCTAAGTATACAGACAGTGGCACGTACTAAGAGTTGACACAAGCAATAAATAGGAATATATAATGCAGCTTTGTAATAATGCAGTTTTGTAATAAGCATGACTATCAGTGTGGAGATGTTCAAGAAATATCTAAAAATGTCCATGTTTATCACGAATACTATATGGGGGGCATGGCCAGGATCTAAAATAAAATGAGGCAAAAACTAATAAGCGAGGCAAATTTCAACTTAATGAAGTGAATTCTAATTTTGGACTTCATTTCCAAAGTTTTAAAAATATAAATTTCTGTTTGATTCTGTAGTTATACTATATGGGGGCATGGCCAGGATCTAAAATAAAATGAGGCAAAAACTAATAAGCGAGGCAAATTTTAACTTAATGAAGTGTTTTCTAATTTTGGACTTCATTTCCAAAGTTCTAAAAATATTTTCTGTTTGATTTTGTAGTTGCCTCAACTACACCTGGCTATACCCATGCCATTAAAGGGTATATCTGGAACAAACATTTGACAATGACTTCATTTTTGTATGAAATGACTTCATATGTTCATGTATTTCATTATCTTCATTGGTATACCTTGTAGGTGTCAGCATCCATGAAGCCCTCCTCCAATAGCCTGGCTGGTTCATTGAGGCCACCAGGCAACTCTGGGTCCCACTTCCAGAACAAATACTCAAGCTTCTTCTTGTATGAATCACTTCTACAATGTGAACGATTGGCAACAAATAAACACAGGATTATGCCTCAGTCTCAGCTGTAGCTTCCCAAAATCGAGAGAAATATGCAGTATAAATATAGGGATAAGCAGTATGATGTAGATTTTCTATATTGATTTTGAAAAGTTATGGCTGCAGTATGGTTGCCGAAGAGTGAGATGGTACAAATGGTGATATGGCAAATGGGGATATGGCAAAAATTAAATTTAAACTGAATTCAATAAATCATCCACATTTTAGATAATTACAATTTTGGTAGATTATGTTTACAGTACACTGGCATAAGATTATGTTTGCAAAATAGCAATAAATTTCGAAACATTTCAGATGCCTGGGATGTAGTTGATAACTGGTTGTCACAACATTATCGGAACAAGATCAATAAGTTTGAAAGGCATCATGTTAAGGTGTGACCCTATAAGTTAAACACCTACCTAGTTGTTGGCAAGTAATTATCATCATCATCGAGTAAAGTTGAGAGTTTATCATCAAACTTGCTGCGTAGAATTCTATTATGTACACGTGTTATTCTATGTATCCTCACACCATATATTCCCCTGTCTTTGTAGTCAGCTGCACAGAACCTTGACAAGATCAGATCATGACAGGACTTGAACCTAAAATCATACAAAACATGACAAGATCAGATCATGGCAGGACTTGAACCCATTCCTATAAGTCAGAATCATTACTTTGAGAGTCAATATCACTTTTGACTAGCTTTTAAAGATACCAGTCATTGTGAAGGGGCGTAGCAAGCTTTCAGTCAGGGGGGTGCGATTGCCAACAAATTTTGGTTTTCAGTCAGGGGGGTGCTAATGTGGCATAAACAAGCCAAAAAATAAGCTTTATTTTGAATTTTACAAAAATTGATGAAACTCCCTTCAAAATTGAGCCAGAAGCTTTAAATAATAAGCATTTTAAAGCTCTTTTCTTCTTCTTTCACATAGTTTCATTTTTATGCGATCGCACCCCCCCCCCCCCCCCCCCCCCCCCGAGCTATGCCTATGTTGTGTAAAAGCATAGTAAGTACATGTGCATGTAGTTTTAATAGAAGAGGGAAGATAACAGATTTACACTGTGTTATATGTATATTCATGGGATTTCACTCTTCAAAGTCCATGGAATATTTTTATATACCTATATCCTAAGGTATGCCTTATAATATACATGTAGTTGTAATGAGGCAGTTTGATATTATTCAAATCACTCAAATATTGTATACAATTATTTATTATGGAACACCCTGTGAATGTTGATTTGTTACATTACAGCTGATAAAACATCTCTCCATCAATGCATTTAATAAATTCATAATTAACTTCATAAATTAGAAAAAGCAAAATTCATGTTTAATATTGTTAAAGAACCAGCACATTTTCCTTTCCATTTATTTAAACAGTATTTCAACTTCAGACACACTCGTCCCACGAGACAAATCCATCACATTATCCCATGCAAATTTAAATCAAACTTATCAAAAAAATCAGTCCAATACTCTGGAACGATAATATGGAACAAACTACCAACATCCCTTCAATCTCTACCATCATTTTACTCCTTTAAATACAATTATAAAAAAACATTAATAAATTGTTACTGAGCCATGAGCATGTACTGTAATTCTTCCACAATTGTATTATGTTTGTATTTCTCACTTTTGAATTGTATATGTGCAGGCATTTTTGTATATTGTTGTATTTTATACATGAACTGGCATGATATATATAATTGTATTTCTTGCTTCATTCAATTTATATAAATTGTAATATATTTTTGTATTGTACAACTTTTGATTTTAGCACTGATATGCCCTTTTATGGGTATCAAGTGCCAACACTATTAATGTAATACTAAATGAATATGATAATAAATAAATAAAAAATAAAAAATAAATAAAAAAAAAATAAAAACTAGTAGCACCATCCAACTGGATACCACACATATAAACAATAAGATGATAGCTCCAATTGCATTCATCATCTTTGCAAGTTCAATGCAAGGAGAAGTAGAAACTGTAGATGCAGATGTCTGTACCAAGGCAACAATCAAAACATTTGAAGACAAACTTGATGTCAAACTGAACAATTTGCATGATTTGATCAGCTCCAAGAATGGTGAGTTGATATTCCTTCTGAATTACCAAATGTATTCAATACCATTTCATTACAAGTAGTGGACTTTAATTGAAACATATCTCTCAATAGGGAAAATCAAATCAAAATTCAGTATCTGTAAGGTGTGTCAAAAAGTTACCCATTTTGATTGTAAATACCAGGTCGTTTATTTGTAACCTAAAATCAATTTAACATGTATGCAGCAGCTACACATATTCCGATACTGGTACATGCAAAGTATATTTTTCTTGAGTTTAGATTCCATACAGAAAAGTAATAAAGACATCCAGGACCTGAATATCATTGTTGAAGACTTAAAGACCAAATATGATAACTTACTTAGTGAGCTACAAAAGATGACTGAATGCCGGATACCCTGGCCATAGTAAGGGGAAAGGAGGAATGAAGACTCCTCATAGGAGAAGATTGATATATTTGTCATTGACTTGAAGTGTAATGTTAAACAAATCTGAATAAATGATTTACTGTCAAAATAGTGGTCATATCATCATATCTTTTGTATTTATTCAAGGCTGTGTCTCCGCTTAATCAATGTAAATGAAAAACCCCTAAACAACTCAACCCCTGTAGCCTAGGCATCTCATCCTTTGGACAACACAACACCAGAACAACTGAATCCCTAGACAACTCATCCCCTGGACAACTAATCCTTAGTCATTTGTTAAGGATGTTGAGCTGTCCAGTCACCAAATAGCAATATACTTCAAATAAGTATACCACCCGAGAGAATGGTTGGCTGAGGCCGACCAATAAGGGGAATATCCTCTTAAAATGTTTTGTGACATCTAATTGGTGCCTTGCAATATGTATCTTCATTTATACAATCTATATACATCTATTTTGAATTTGACAGAAATGTGTAATCATTAGATTCCACACACATTTTTTACACTTGTGCAAAAAGTATACAGTAAGAATATCCCAAAATACATTTTATTGGGTCAAATTAGATTAATATTTAACAAGGAATGAATAGACAGTTTTTTCAATCATTTTATTCAGATAAAGAGAAATGATTTGATAACTGTTTTATCTCTCTACAGCTCTAAATGCAATAATTATTTTACACACTTGACATGAAGTGGATATGAAGTATGTAAGTAGTAGTAAGTTTGTGATATAAGCAAGCATTAAGGGTATTTACATAAAATGCTAAAGTGTGTAATCAATGAATAACTGTACTTTTTCAAAATTTGAACAATGATTAATTGTCTAGGTCTGTAGTAGGTCACCATATACAAGAATGTCATGAAGATGTTGCAGTGTCTCACTGACTTTATAGACCTATTATAATCTTTTCACTGGTACACACAGACAAACTGGGTGTAACAAGTGCTATACTCATTTACCACATCAATCATTTAGCACTCATTTAAAGGGTGACGCATATCGTTTAGCAAATCGAACGCTCGTTTCTGGTGTTGCTCACCGTTTAGTATAAAAGGCCCGATCCCGGAATAATACTCAAGGGTTCACAGGCTCGAGGTCGTTGTGTCAACACCTCTAACTGTTATATAGCATAAGTATATTATAGATCGTCACATATTTATAAAACGGTGATTTTTATTTTGACAAATCAATTCCACATTTATGGGTGAAGTTTCAGGATCTTCTATTTGTGTATAATAAGGAAAAATTGACATCTAAATTTCCCCATAACGTAATAGCACACAGCTTGGTATATGAAATATCCTACAAATGAAACAAAGCAGTTCTAATACAAGGATTTATATTGGCTGTTGTACATATTCTTTGAACGCAATCACTCTATGGATAATGTTTTCAAAATCATTATAAACGGATAACTTTATCTCAAAGACAATTTCAATAAACTGGATTTTACAGAACTCCCCTTATTTCTTAAAAATGGACTGATCCAGTCGATTCGCCTGGAGCCGCCATATTGTTTTTATACGGGATGCTAATCGTCACCCTTTAAGAAGCTGAGAATAATGATTATCTGACACTTTGTTGTTTAACAAAATGAGGAATGGAATATTAGTACTAGTAACCTTATTCTTCAGTGCTCAATCTTATGTTGAATTTGTTTAAGCCTAGATGTGTATAAAAGCAGTTTTTTGTATGAAGGATTTACACTTTTGGCATTCCTTATCAATTTTTTCCTTGTTTATCTTAATCTGTATTAGCCTATTTATTATTACAGCCTATTCCCATCTCCTTTTGGGATGATGTTAGCTTCTTTCAAATAATCAAATGTTTTGAAGAAGGACTTCTCTGTATTCTGGTACTTGAGAAAGCCGAGTTCCCTGCTATTTGCCATATCCATGACAACTTCAATTGGCAACATCCCCACAACATCCATGAACCACCATGCACAAATTTTCTGTAGATCAGTTTTATAGAGGCCATATTTCTTCACAATGGTTTCCCAGGCATCCGTTTTATCATCCATAAATGCCGTGAGTGATGCTGCTTCCCCATTATATTCGGGTACCTCAAGGTTGAAATACTTCGCAATTGCTGCCCACATTTGTTTCCATCTGAACACATCTCCATTGACAACATTGTAGCCTTGGTTGGCTGCTTTTGGTTCAGTTGACTCCCAGATCATGTGATCAGCCACCTGCTCAGCATCTGACAAATCAGATAAACAGTTAAACATTTTCTCACCACCAAAAAATTGAAACGGCAAGTTCATTTCTTTGCACAAGGTCGCATATATAGCTAAACCTGTCGCAATGTTCATTGTAGTATTAGGAGCAAAACCTACAATCGCCATAGGTCTAGCAACACTCCAAGTAAAGTTTTCTGTTTTTGCCCTTCCAAATACTTCATCTTCTAAATCATGGTAGAAGTTACGGCCTGGCCTCCTTTCCATTGTTTCTTTAATGGGAGTAACAATATCCCCGATGACATCACCAAAGTTGCCAATGTAGTGCTTAGCACCAGTTAGTAGTGCGAAGTGTTTGATCTTAGAAGGAAGATTGTCCATAAGATTAGCAAGCATCGATCTGTTAACATCACAGTCCTTCTCGGGATCCATCGTGGAGACCCATGTTGTATAGAAGACATGGGTGACATCTTTTAGAGTCTTCAACCCATCAGCACATTTGCTTGCATCTTGAAGATCACAGAGAATATGGTTCACTCCACCTGGGAGGAAATCTGATTGGCGTCTTGATAAACCATACACCTTCCAGTCAGTTGAAACCAAACGACGTGCAAGACTGATTCCAACAACACCTGTAACGCCTGCTATGAGTGCTGTACCAGATGACATTTCAGTTCAATGTAAAGTTGCTTTCTAAATCTGAAAAATCAAATGACAAATATTAAATAAATATTAATTAACATTGTGATTGAATCTAAGTAAGTCAGGTAAACAAGAATGTATACCTAAACAATTAAGGTAATTAAGGGTAAAGAAAAGGTGGGATTTTAGAGTGTTTAAGAAAAATAGCTATTTTGCCAAAAAATTTAATTTCAGATGAATCCATCCAAAATGAGCTGTGCATTTCAAAACAGAGTACCATCAGATCTATATTTAATTATAATTAATATAGGATACTACTTTCCAAATTATTTTACTTAGATTTTTACATGTATATAGTTTTAAATATGTTGATAATAATAGTATTGTGAGGTATAAAACTGATTTGAAAAAATAAGGTGAACCATCCAATCTGAATTTGAAAAAAATAAGGTGAACCATCCAATCTGGGTTTGAACATTGCATCAATGTATTTTGCTCAAGTAATTTAGACTGACATCCATTAGCCATAACATTTTACTGATATGATTGTCTTGAGTTAAGTTTAAAACATTCCTGTGACTTAATATGAACCACGGTGACTTGCATAAATACATTCAGCATTAACGGTCTGTTCAATGTGAATATGAATATCCAAGTATAATTGTCACATTTCAAAAATGCATCTAAATTAAGAGCGGAGCATAGCACTGTCCAGCACTCATACCTAAATGGATTGAATTTTGGTTCATCATAAACAATAAGACAAAACATAGAGAATATCTTTTAATAAAAGTACTTACAGGAGCAATATGTTGAGTCTTTACAGGCTTCTTGTGTAGAGTTTAACACTCAGACTTTGATCGTGTTGAAGTTGATCACATGCATGACCTTAAAAAGGTCTTTAAATACTGATAAAATGTTCATAGTACAATTCCACAGACAAATGACCTAATACAATCCAATGGAGATACATTTAAATCTTCAGATTAATTATGAAAAACGTGTATTTTCGGTGCCTAACCTCATATACCATGGTGTAGCTCCATATGTCCCCTTTAAAACTGAAAATGTTTTTGCATAGAAAGGCCATTGAAATAAAAAGATATGACATGGGCTTTCAAGATCTTTTGAAAGCCCATGGATACGACCACTTTTACTGCCATCTTTCAGAATTTTGAATGATTCAAGTTTTTATATAACTGCCTAATGGAAGTCTGCGATTCAGAACTTCTAGCCGAGCACCTCATCTGGCAAACAACAACCCTGAGTGTGCTAGCAATGCGTTTAATCCAACCAATGGTGACCTTTTTTGATTTACCCATATGTTGACAGGGGAGGGTCTGGGAACCAACAAGGGGGGAGCCCAAATTTCAGGTCAGAGAAAAAAGTTGGCAAAAAAATTTTGAGCCCCTAAAACCCCAAAGTGGGCCCATATTTTGAAATTTTGAGGCCCATTTTCTTCAACATTTGGCCTGAAATTAAAAAATGAAAGACCCACGGTCCTGTGCTCACACAGTTTGGAACCTTCAGAGGATCGGAATGTATATCCTGACTTTCAAACAAAAATATTAATTTGGATTTGTAGTCTCGAACTTTGAGAAACTTAGATAGCACAGTTGTGTGACCTAGTCTGATGACCTTCGACCTTGAAAATTAAAAGGTCAAATCCTAAAACTAATGTCAGATTTGAACTCCTGGCAACTTGTAGATGATTTTCAAAAAAGAATTTGGTCAAATTGAAGCAAGTTGAAAAATAACTTATTTTTACTGTTTTTTTACGTCAAATATCTCAAAAACGGTAAAAATTTGATGCTGACATATATTGAGCAATATGTAGGGAATGCTTAAATCTAGTAATGATGAAATTCATTGCAAGAAATGATCAAGTATAAGGCAAACTTTGAGAAACTTGTCAATCACAAAACCTACCATTGACTTTATACAGGAGAAAGTTTCCTGAAAATGAGTCCTACTTTTTGTCAAATTTTATAGAGTAAACACCAAAAACTGTAATTCCAAGAGCTTTGAAATCTTCAGAGGACATAAGTTGCATATAGAGCAACTATTAAAAGTTATTTGAAAGTTCTACTTCAACAAAGTGTCTAGTATTTACAGAAAATTTGACTTTTTGACGTCAAAATCAGCAATTTCTCGGAAACTGGGCGAACTTGGGAAATGGCGATGATAGGTCAAATAGGCATTATGGATATGCATAAAATGAATGCGGATATGACTCAATCGGAATAGCAGTTTTAATTTGTGCGGCCAATGTTGACGGACGGACGGACAGACCAACGGACGTCATTTGTTGTTGCTGCATTGGTTTCTTCATTTATTTTCTTCTTTCTTTGTCTTGATTTGATTGCAATGTTAGTTATCTTTCTTCAGGGTCCACAGACTTGAGACTGTGCATAGACTGTCCGGACGGACGGACGGACGGACCAACGGACGGACGCCTGGTCGATCCCATAGCCTCACTGTGTGAGCCAATAAGGCCTTAAAAAGCCCAGTAATGACCAAAAAGGCCTACTTTTTGGAGCCTTAAGGCCTTTTTTCCTGGGCCGACCCAAGGGGAGGGCCCCCAGGCCCCCCCAAGATCCGCCAGTGGTAGAAGGTAAAGGTCATCGCTGACTATTTTGGTATCGAGGATGGTGAGTACAATGGGAAAGGGTTTGATGTAATGGAGTTCATGAAAGATAAAGATGATGTATAGGCAAGCATTATCAAGACAAAACTGAATGAACTGTGTCACTGGCATTACTATGACCTTTCCTGGGAGAGTGAATACATGCTAAATGGGACCAAAAGCAGGGAATTTGGGTTCTTGGAGTACCAGAATAGCGAGAAAAAATTTATTAAAAACATTTGATTATTTTCGCAAGTACAAGTTCATTCCCTGAATCACTCTGTGAAATGTTCAAAACATCGCTATAACTGCTGATTTAAAACTTGCTTTACATACATTATAGTTCTAAAAAGTCAACCTAATTACTATGATTTCTATAAAATGCAATATATATATATTATATATATTGATAATACAGGGTTCCTACAAACCTGGAAATGTAAATGAAATTAACTTATTTTTCCAGCACCTGAAAATTCAGTGAATTTAAAAATTAGACCCAGATGTCAAGGAGAATGTATTAAAAGATGTCAGCTTGACAGTAAGCAGGTTGAAGCAAATGAAACTGTAAAATTAATATTTTTCACAATGAAATATCAGGAAGGTTTTCATTCTGAAAAGGTATTTCAGGAACCCTGTAATCATGAGTATAGTATATTGGTAATATGTACAATATAGTATTGGTAATATCATACTGCATTGGTAACAAATAAAATATAGTGTTGGTAAATTGGTAACATATAAATAGTATGGGTAATAAATACTGTATTGGTAAATTGGTAACATGCATATAAAAATATTGGTAATATATAAATTGTATTGGTAATAAAGTAGTCTGTCAAAAAAACCTCCATTATGTTAGATTGCAAGTGTATACTGTACACACTGACACAAAACTAAGTCAAGTACATTTTTTGCAATGGGTTGATTTATTGTTTGGCCCCTTATATTTCATTTTAGAATTTAAATACAGGGTGACACCTGTAAAAAGGAAAATCGAAATCACTTACCAAACATCTGAAGCCATCCCATCTTCAAATCTAACATTCCCACCAGTTTCTAGTTCAGCCACTAAACGATTTATCGTGAGCTCTGTGACTTGGCGTAGTTTTCCCAGGGCCTCATTAAAGTAATACTGCAACCTGGACACATTATAAATACATTCATTAAAGCATCTTGTGCAGAATAACACAGCAACCTGAAGACATTGTAAATGCATAAATTAAAGCCTCATGTTTAGAATAATACAGCAACCTGAAGATAATATTAATGCATGAATTAAAGCCTCATATTCAGAATAATACAGCGACCTGAAGACAATATTAATGCATGCATTAAAGCCTCATGTTTAGAATAATATTGCAACATGAAAACATCGTAAATGCAAGCACTTAAGGTTTTAGCATAAACCATTTATTCAATATAGATCATGTGTTTAAAATAGTTTTAAGTAAAGAAAACTTACTCTTCACATTTCTTGTACCATTTCTTGGTTCTTTCCTGTATGAAGTCATTCTTCTTCTTGTAATCAACAATAAGTTTGCTACTATCAGCCGCCTGCAAAATATTAACATGGAAACATAACTTTATAATTAAACCACATGATCAACCAACAATTTGTATATTTTGAAATAGGTCATCTTTTTTCAGCCCCGTAATTCATGCGATGAGCCCATTTCTTTCTGTGTACATCAAATAGGCCATCTTATTCAGATACTATATTACATGTTTATCTTACCTCTGCTTCTTTTGCATCTTTCTCACTCTCTGTACCACTCTCATTTCCCCCTTCATTCTCCTGACATTGCCTGAACTCACTAGAAAGACGTTCAATCTATAAAACACAAAATAAGTCATTATAATGGACAGTTATATATAGTATTATGGCAACATTGAAAATGCGGTGAGATGAAATGTCATTTCATCAGCTGTATATAAGAAAATAAATTGACAATAGCATTCTCCTTAATAATTTAAAAAATGGATCCTTATGTTGTATCCAATCCAAGTATAAACTGTCAACAATGGACAAAATATTCAGATCAAGTTATTAATATTTTGTATTATTTTTTCATTAAAGGAATTGAATCTTGTTAGGGACTGGCAAGAGGAACACAGGTTACTTACCTCTTTCATATTATATATCAGAGTTTTCAGCCTTTCATGAGGAATCTTGAGCAGTTCATCACAAGCAGAGTTCAAACTCGTCACTATCTTGGACATATTCCTGCGCATAGTCTTCACGCGCATGTTATAGTACATCTTCTTTTTAACAACAGTTGTCTAAATACAAAGTGAACACACAAGTTAACTAAAGACTGTCCTCAAATAGAGTGTATCCACTGGAAACAATCATGAAAGCACTACTGAAACGAGCAATACATGTAGTGACATCTTTCTTTAGATTTCAAAATAATATATAATCCTTGTCTGAATATACCCTGTGAAAGAGCTGGCTTCTTACAAGTTGATCGGGTTCAGGAAAACTTAAATCTACAGTGCACATTGAGCTCACGCATGACGCTTCTTGATTTCTAAATGTTTTTAATTCATATACATGTACCTCTGCAAGTTCTCTTAGTGTTTTACTGGAGACGTCATGCGTATCGAGAACCTCTAATTTCGGAAGATGATAGAGCACATGGGTTGAGTAGTTACACAGAAGACACACAGGGTTTGCAGCATAGCCAGGATCCTATAAACAATACATATAATGTGTACAGCACATGTTTTATAGTTTTGATATGCCAGAAATTTTTCCAATCTGATTATTTGTTTTATCTTCAAACAGAGGAATAGATAACTGTGCATATATACTAGACAGTAACAACTCTCATACTGCTTTTTCCTTTGTTTGAGGCCCAAGTTGAAAATGATAAAATGTGAACACCTAGCTAACTTCAGAAATATGAAAAATTTTCATAAAATACCCCATGTACAAGTATTACATAACAATTGCTTAAATGACAAGGAGAAAGATATATACAGTAGATGTACAATACCTTTAAGCCAAGGTGCTTGAGATTAGGAAGCCTTTGTAAATGTGTGAGATCTTTGAATGAATAAATTTTGTTGCCGGACAAGTTCAGATTCTCCAACTTCAGGTTAGAATCAAGTGAATGACCTGGAATGTAAAACAGCATGCAACAGTTATGAATGAATTAGACCTATCATCGAGTTATCCAGAGGCTGACTTTCAAAATCACATATGTACGAGGGGTGATCAATAAGTCATAGATGCTTTTTACACAGATGTTTTTTATTGACCAATCTCTTAGATTTTTTCTCCAGTGATGACTTATTCAATTATCTATCAGACCTAAAGTTTTGAAGTTTTGAAGACAATCTGTGTAAAAAGTGTCAATTACTTATTGACCACCCCTCGTACAGACAAGTGTTTAACATCCTCCGATTGCAGAACTCCAAGATCTAGAATATAGGTACAGATTCTGGACACCTGCTTTGGAGGATGCTGTTTTATTGCAAGTTTTAGTTTACTGTGGAAGTAAATATGATTTTGACCTGCCAAATGAATAGAATTTCCTGTAAATATGAAGTATGACTGACTTACTCCAATAACTAAATAACAGAGTAATTTCAGTAATGTCACAAACCTGTCACATAATGATATCATGATGTGACATCATCCCCAAAAACTATTACCAACAGTTGATTTATCAGATCTGTGTATTTTCTCTAGCTGAGGTACAAAATAATTGTAATAATGTGAGAATTACTTGCAAATGATTTTAAATCAATTGAATGATTGCCAGCCCATACCTAGCTTTTCTATCTTGTTGTCAGCTATGTTCAATTCTTTCAGTCTTGTGAGGCAAGAAGTACCCTGGAAACACATCACTTAGTGTAAACTGACTATACATGTAATATATCTGGCTAAAATAAGTGAGATTTTTAAAAACAAATGCAGTACTATATAGTATGCAAATTATAAACTTCAAGATAATTTATAAAAAATAACAAGTTCTCAACATGCACACATGCAAACCACTATCGTCATTATAATGATATAAAATTCTCATTAACTGTACTTACATCTATATTTCTTATTTGGTTGTCATTGAGCCACAAATATTCTAGCATGGTAAGATTGTCTAGGTTCTCTATCTTTGTAAGCCTGTTGTCATAGAGATACAACCGATTCAGCAATTTGCAGTTTCCCAGGCCACTGATGGTCTACAAGAAATGTGAAAGCTTGATCAGATTATCATGTAAACCTTAAACTGGTGTGGACTGATGTTGCTTATGTCCTAGGATTAACTTTGATACAAGGCATTGTAATATACCTCTTTTCTATGCTTCCAGGTGATCCTGGTGGCCTTATACTAGTGTGCATGTGAACTCTACCTACCCAGCCGTTGTCATAGCCTTCTAGCTTATTGCACCCTAATAAACACTAGACTGAATGTTAACACGCTATCTACTAGGTCAGATCGTTACTGATTCTGAATGACGTTGTGAACACCAACTGCCAAACACCATCCACAAAAAATTGAGTCTTGTGGTGGTGACATAAAAATCATACTGTACCAGATATGACTGAGTTTCATGATCTTTCAAGCACTTTTATTTTTCAGAATTCAGTATTAAGTACATGTACCTTCGAAAGAAACAGGGTACAAGTGTCTCATTCTCTCACCTTTAAATGTGTCTCACACACCCAAAGCTCTCTTAGTTTCTTCATGGCACCTAGTCCTTCAATAGTCTGTATGTTCTGTCCTATGATACACAACTTGGTGAGGTTTGTGAAATAGTGCATGCCCACCATCTTGGTGAAGTTGTTGAAGAACACATCCAGGAAGTGTACACTCCCAGCATCTTTCGCTAGGTTATCATAGCTTAGGCCATTGTTTGTACACTGGAACAAATGCAGAGATAAAATGTAGCAAAACAGGTCTTAATGTAACTGAGATAAATATAAAGTACAATTGACTTTCAAGAGAAATCTCATGCCATCTACAACAGGCCAATAGCCAGGATTTTGCCAAGGGGGGTTCACCTTTTGAAAAGTTCCAGGGGGGTTCACTTTTGACAATTTTGGTCCAAAAATGACTCAAACCCATCGAACCACCCCCCCCCCCTGGCTACGGGCCTGTACAATCTACATCTATAATCTGCAAAAGGCTACTAAGCCCATTTGAAGCGGATATAATGCTGATATAACAGTAAAGAAAGTGCCTTTGTACATCAAAATACAGTAAAACCTGTCTAATCCGAACACCCACGGGACCAGCCAAAAGCGTTCAAATTGGCAGGTGTTCAAATTTCGAGGATTTTGTTGGTCGGGGGGGGGGGATTTTCATTGTTCAGTCCACTATATTGAACACTTAATACTAAGTCAGAAAACAATAAATGGTGTTGATGAGTTAATTCTACAATAGTCATATAGCCTATATGCTATGTTTTATTTATATTTTGAACAAAATCATCATTTTAGTAAAAATAACTCTTATGTTTTGACAAAAACTTTGTAATACACTGTAAAAGTATATGATAGTCTCGTATGAAATCTTATGCTTATCAAATGACTTATCCCATATTATGGTAATATAGCACTGCTTTACTCTTGCTTGAAAAAGTCCTTCATTGTTGTTTGTTTCTTGGCACTTTTAGCATTAGCAATATTTGAGTAGATATCCTCTTCAAGTAAAAAGAATTTTTCATGAGTGTTCATTCGAGATGATGTATAATCCTTCAAAATATCAAGGGCATTTAGGATGTCAGATGTATGCCTTTTAGGAGACATTTTAGTGATAGGATATTACAAAGTTGATTTTTTTTCTCTTTCTTGTGATATAATCTTGTCTGCAAATGTCGTCTGTGTTGTTCTTGTGATTATAAAACATTTGCTGATTGAATCTTAGCTATCATAACAGACCCATAGGATATAAAACAGTTAAGACCTGTTCATAATCCAAATCAAAAACATCCAGTTAATTTACGATAAGGATAAACCAATTATCTCCCAGATTCTCACCTTTCTCTTAATCCAAATCAAAAACATTCAGTTCTTTTCTAAATCTTGTCTGCAAATGTCGTCTATGTTGTCCTTGTGATTATAAAACATTTGCTGATTGAATCTTAGCTATCATAACAGACCCATGGGATATAAAACAGTCAAGACCTGTTCATAATCCAAATCAAAAACATCCAGTTAATTTACAATAAGGATAAACCAATTAACTCCTGTATTCACACCTTTCCAAAACATCCTGTTGTTTTCCACAAATTAGGGATGTCACTGAGACTAAATAAGTTAGTTAGGACAATATTGGTTCTTTGATTACATTGTATATGTAAAGATAAATAACAACTATAACATTGACTCAATATTTGGCTATAATTGAAATGTCCAGACATTTGATTTCTGATAAAAATGTTCAGATTAGACAGGTCACTTTTTCAAATCTGGTTGTTCACTGTTCAAATTAGGAGGTGTTCAGATTTCAAGGTTTTTTTAACATGGGAGTCAATGGGAGGAAAAAATGGGACCGAAAAAAAGTGTTCAAATTGAAAGGTGTTCGGATTAGCCAGGTGTTCAGATATACAGTCAAATATTGACTGTATACTAGGACAAATCTAAGAAAGTACTGTTGTACTGCCCATTCTTGCTATACTGCAACTCGCAGAATTTCTAGAAATCTATTAAGCAAAGCTGAAAGTATGCATAGTTTAAGCATTATAATATTGCATGTTATCAAAAGGCAAAGTGCAACCACTGTTATCACTATAGTAAAATGCATGCACATGTAAACTTACCATTTCCTTAACGGCATCTTCCTCCTCCTGTTTACTCATGTGTACAGTTGTCATGGTGATACAGAGTCTGAAGCATGTCCTGTATAAGTATACCTACAATATATCGGTTGAAAATATATTTTAATTGCTTATCAAGACCATTCAAATTATTGGTTTTCTTTATCCATCATTGTAAAGTTTCAAGTCTTTCAAGCTTCATACCTAATCCTTACGATATACAGTGATTAGATTGACCATCCATGACCAACTTATTCTAATTCAACTAACACCAAACACATATACCACAAGGATAACTTTGGATCCCAGGACACCTGGCTCCAGAGGATATGAGCTTGTCGATAGTCCTGCCAGAAATGCAGCCGAATATGCCAAGGCTACATCATAAAACAAGATCAAAGAATATCAAAGAATATTGCAATGGCAGACAACACTGGTCCCTACTTGTCTTTATAACAAAATGGATGAACTTCTGTCTGAGGAAATTCTTCCTTTCATCAGTTTCACCAAGAATTTTTTTTTATTATTTTATCTTGGTTACTGCCATATTTGGTGAGCAATATATATCTTTTATCGACTCTTTAGATGTCATATCATGACATATTAGTCACTTAGGTAGAGCAGTTCTTCCCATTGTCGAGTTGAAGAACTGGTATCTTTATCCTGGCTAGAACCATAGACAATTCTAGCCAGCGCCAGCCTTTTATCGAGTTAGCAGCACTCTAGTCCTCGCCGGTATAGGTCAGCAGTCATAGGTCAAAGACAAATCACAAGAAGTGCTGTGACCTGGGTTTGAACCCAAGACCTCTACTTTTCAGCTTGAAGCCAGACTTCCTGCTTTTCAGACCAATGCCTTAACCACTAGGCCAACCCGGCGACCACAATACCTCATTGGTATATTCCGTATTTTACATATTTTACACTCGAAGACAGAGCCAGAAACCCCTCCTTGGAGGAGCCCTGTGTTCTTTTCGTGTGCACAGGTACACAGACATACAGGTACACACCACAGCCTTTTATACGAGTCGTCAACCACTCAGTCAAACACCCAGAACTACATAACGCACAAACAAACTTGTCTGAACTGGGTAGGAAGTCGATTTGTATTTTGTATCCAAACATTTTAGCTGTATGTTAATAGTAACATCAGGTTACTGAAAAGCGAATTACATGTAGTCACGAGTATATACATCCAAGGGCTCCAATAATTGATTGAGAACTCCTCACTTCACCAACCAGGACGTTAATAGGCCATAACATGAAGCAACCAGGACGTTATGAAATTCAACAGATAAAATACTGGTTGCTGAAGTAAGGAATTCTCACTCGATTATTGGAGCTGCTGGAAATATTTGCTCGTCCATGACTGGCTTTTCAGTAACCGGATCTTAATATTAGCGTCTTTATAACCAGATGGGGACATACATGAGATAAGACATGAGTGTGCCATTGCAATCTAAAGATATGCTTTACAGTGTAAGCGATAAATAATAAATAGACTGCACTCATGGGAAGTGTAAGTTGTCACTTGTTATTTTTACTGCTGAAATTCCATGCGGGTTTGTGTAAAGTGACATCCCATTGAAGTACCAGTGACACAACCAATCAAACAAACAACCAAACAAGCAACAAAATTTATTTATCAATAAATCAACCGGCAAAACGACAAACAAAATTAATATAATGTCAATCAGTGAGGCAATAAATCAAGCAACTAACGTTGTATTGTACATCGTACACTAATTAACAGATAAAAACGGCAAATAACGTTTCAATTTACGCGTACGCAAACAGAGATCACGATAGTTGAAAAAACTTGTTAGCCATTGTGGCTAAATCTTCCAAAAAAATTTTCGCCAACCAAAATATGAATTAGCCATTTTAAAAACCGTAAAAAAGGGAACATTAAAAATGATGCAATGTCTGATGATGACAGTTTCACTTTCAGTTTCACTTTTCAAAATCATATTCAGAAATAAAAAAACGTCAATTAAAACTGAATGTAAAGCATCTGCCGCGAATGTGATCGGCATTTCATATAGTCTGCACGGTGTAATATCACCAATTCGTTTACCTTGTGATATCGGAGTCCCAAAATACTTCCAAACTGCCGACTTTTTCGACTTAGATGCCGGCTCGATTTTTCAATTTCTTTCCTACATCCGGCATACTGATAATGCACTCGATTTGCGAACCACGATGAAGAAATTTACGAACAAGCATTACCATCTACCTGAAATCGCGGGTCCGTTAATAACACTTTTCAATGCAAAGAAGTGTAAACTAGGTACGAGGTAAGTGAAAATATTTAATTTTTCAGAACGAAGTCGGAGGTGTTCCTCGCTATTTATACACGTTTTTATGCATTCTAGGGAAGGAATCTATGTACCGATATTAACCCTTTCTGTCCTATGTCCCGAACCGAAGCATCTGGACCGAAATTCGGTCCAATATCGGGAAACCGTGACAACTCTAATTCGCCATAACTGCGAAATACCTTTACATATTTTTCGCCACCTCTTTCGAAAATTTGCGATTGGCGAATGGCGAACGTCTACCGTGATCTCTGACGCAAATCTTCCAGATTTGTTTAATATCCAGTAGAATTCGCCATCATAGAAAACATCGATATCCATCGATATCCTGTCAATCACTCAGACAATAAATCAAGCAACTAACGTCATTGTACGTGTAAACTGTGTAAATAACTACATAGGACTTCGGAAATTCAGCCTCTTACAGGTTCTTGGTAAAATGATAACGTAAAAATATTGAAGGTAGTCTACAAATGTGCAACTTTGAAAGTTGGTAACCCTGCAAGGAACGTTAAGTACCCGGTTACCCGGCCACCCGGTTTTTTACACAAACCCGTTCCCTGCTCATCACCCTACATGTAATTTCCTGATTTTGAAACAATGAGAGGTCAATTGGGCAAATTAGAAGTTGGTTTAAAATGAATACAGAAATTCATTTTGAACTGCGAAGTGCAGACATGACTTCAAAATCACCAAAAAGATGAGTGATATTCTATATTTCCTCCAAGCTTAGACTCCATTTCACTGCTTCATTTCGTCAGTAGAACGGCAAAAATAAGAAATTGGGAGACCATTGTGCAATAATATATGGAAAAGTATATTCATAATGTACATGAATGACATTTGTATATCTTGGATTGCTTCTAGTTTGGCTTATAAAGTGTGTGGCCTCTTATATTTGGATGTTTCTCTGCCATGTTATTTTCAATAAGATTAACATGGCTGAAATTCTTCAAATTACAAGACGGCACAGGCTTATTGCACAAAAAACTAAAAAATCTGAAATATACAAATGTCATTCATGTACATTATGAATATACTTTTCCATATATTATTGCACAATGGTCTCCCAATTTCTTATTTTTGCCGTTCTACTGACGAAATGAAGCAGTGAAATGGACTCTAGTACATGTAGGCTACTTCTATAAGATCCCCAGAAGGAGATCCTAGGCATTACTGGCCTATGCTTTGGTGTATATTTGAAATTGGAGTTTATAAATGAGCATTTTCTACATAAAATCCGCCAATGATACTATGCATATGTCCTGCATGAAATCTGAATTCCAAGTGAAAATCATGAAATTTTGAAAACAGAAATTCATAAAAAAAACTGTTTTCCTGTCTCATGACTTTGTTTCAAATGTTACGATTATTAAACTTTCTTCTAGGGTACATTGTACATAATGCATACAATAAACTTACTTTATTCAATTACTGAAGCCTTTATTGTCTTATAATCGATGAAATCTTGTCAGAATTTCGAAAAACCAAAACCATTTGACGTCCGCCATATTGAAACTGAATGCAGCTCTCTGATTGGTCCACTATCACTAAGGTATCTGGCGCGAAATTTAAAATTGTAAACAAACCCACGTGTTCTAATTCAAACAATAAACAAAGTGTGTAGTACTGTGTACTGATTAACAGGTGTTGTAAGAGGCTAGTTTCTTCTACTAAAATGGAGAACAATAGGTAAAAAATTAGATATTTGTCACATTGACAAATAACTCATGGCACTTATATTTTGGTGCAATTGTTTTATATATTACCACATTTCATAAAAATGTCAAATATTATGTGGTTTTTAGTTTTTAAATGTCTGGTCTAACCATCCAAGACTGAAGAATTCAGATTCGGAATACATCGGTTAATGATTAAATATCACAAATCTTGTACATTTTGTATGATTTAACATACTTAATTTAATAAGTCCTAACATTGGCTTTTGCCTATTTCTCCCCTTTATGGACTTTGATTCTTTTAGTGGTAGTTTTGCAGATTTGAGCTAGACATTTCCGAAAATAGTTTTCTTTGGTCAGCTTCCCTTATTTTTATAGACTTTAATACTTATTTTTAGAAAGTGGATTGCAGCCTAAAATAATGCTTTTTGGGTCTCATTTTCAATTTCCACCTTGTCAATTTTTAGGCCGCCCCTCTTTTGGACTACCCCTATTGGCATCAATCCCAGGTTCTTCTGAGACGCATGATAAAACTGTAAAACAATGTCAGATCAATATCGAGACATAACTTTTTATTATTCAACTGTATACATCATAATTTATACATCATCTGTACATGTATATATATTTATATCATAGAGAAAACTTTAGCCTCCAGAGGAGAGAGATTATACCTTTTAATAACATATCTTATGCAAATCAACCTTTAACTTAAATATATAATAAGTTTAGTGTTTAGAAAATTAGGTGAAATTGAGAAAATACTTGACTTTGTGAAGTTTTGCATCAAGCCCTGTATCCACCCTAATCTTTCTCTAACGTTTGGTCAGAAATAGGAGAGATGAGAGAGGGTGTGACCAAAACTTGATGTAAAACTACTCTGTGAGGCATGGGGTGCACTATTGAACAATTGAATTTCAAGCAATCCATATATATCTCACTTTGCATTACAAAGGTTAGAGTGTTCATATTATAGATATGTTTACATTTTGAAGCAAACAAATGTTTTATACCTTATATGTATGTATTCTGGATGCTCATTGGCTTATTTATGGTCACATGATATGAAATACATGAACTATTTTTCTGAAAATTCTGATCCTCAATAGCAGGGAAGATGAAACAGTTTAAGTCATGTGACTTGTCATAAGTACTTTTTATCTTTCTTGATAGGAGGGATTGGATTTGAATGCCTTTAATATGTCTAGGAAGCTGCCAACATCAAGATGCACAATGGTAAGTAACACATTGAACTGAAAGACTCTAAATTGTTTCTCTTTATAGGTTACATACAGGTGAGGGTATGTCATAACACAAATAGGGACTGCCACTTTCTGGAAATTAGTGCAAACATGTGGGAATAATATTTTGCACTATTTCCCACAATGGCAATCTCTTTTTGCAAGGTATTTCATCCCATTTCATGTTGACTAAATGGCACTAAATATACAGCAAGTAAATGAATATGTAACAATTCAAACTTGGGATGGCACAGGTGTTAACTTCAGGGATGTAGCCAGGATCTTAAATTAGGCGAGGCAAAGGCAAAAACGTGAGGCAAATGTAAATAGGTGAGACAAATGTAAATAGGTGAGGAAAAGGCAAAAAGGTGAGTTAAATTTAGGTTTAAAGAGATATATTCCCACATATGGCCATCATTTTAATGGTTTTAGTTGAAAAGATCTGAAAAGATATGAGCCAGGCCACAGGAAAAGGGGTCTTATCACAGATTTTTTAAATATTCTGATTTTTTGTTTATCTTAAAAAGCACAAAGGGACCTTCCAAATGAGCCATGGCTAATGTCTCAACAATTTTTCCTTGCAGATATAGCCAAAAAGATGGATTTGAATTTAGCACAATTTTCCTCTTAATCTTGAGCACATTTTTGGGAGTGTAGAAAACTTAAAATATTTGTGATAAGACCGGTTTTCCTATTGCGAGGTTCATATATTTATGTGATATTTTAGTGATGCAGTTGCCTTGCCTGCCTTATGCCTGGCTACGCCTTGGAACTTGTAATTTACAAAGTCAATCAGAATTCTGATCCTACCTATGAAAAGTAAGTAATTGGAAGTTTAATATGCAAATCCCTTAAAATCTATAACCATGATCTGTTGTAAAATATAAAATGGCTCTACTGAGTTCCAATTGGCAAGAAAATTATATAAAGTGCCTAGCAATGTGTGACTTTTAATTTCTTCTAAAATATTTTCATATATTCCATAGTTGATTAATTTAATTCCATTTATCAATTCTAAAAGCTGACATTCTGTTGACACCAAGATGGTTTAGAAAGATGTCATATTTCACTGACAATAAAATAAGTGGACTTGTAAATGAAAAAATATTCTATGCATGATATGTTATCATGAATGGGTGTCTTCCTTAAGTTTCATGGCCATAATAAATGCATATTACGAATGTTCAACTCAATGATTGAGTGAAACGCACGGAAAGTTCCCATTTACTTACACAGTATATGGACAACCTCTCGTGTATGTTAACTCATTAGTCCTGTATGGATGCCCTCAATACTTTCCTCAAGTCCAAATAGCAAATTTGAGACCTGGTTCAAGTCATATCACATAAGTACACTAAAATTGCAGAGCCATTTTGTGAGGTTTGAAATACAATGTAATATAATGTATTTTCACAGGTATCCTCACATTTATTGTGAAAATTGCAAATCACACACATATTATATCATTTTTCAACTACAATCCTAGTTTTGATACATTTGTAATACAGTATAATTAAATAAATATAAAAGACAATGGTATCACAATTATACAAAAAAAAATTGTATATCACACTCAAAAATAATATATCAACCTACAGTAGTTACACCTATCCAACGATGTCTGATTCAAATTAAAAATGTTGTTTTATGAAAACAACAAATGTACACCAGGCATGACATCAAAGATTTTCCAAAAATCGATGACTGAATATTTTTAAAATGTCATGATCATCTTGGGATCATGAATATTAAACTCTTATTAACTCAAAATGTTAAAAAGAAAACTGCTCCTGGTCAAGAATTGTTTCAAAATCATGCAGTTTTTCACTATTCTGAACAGTTTTCAAGTGATTTTGAACCAAAGTTGTTAAATGTGAAATCATGGGCTTTCAAGTGTTGAAAGCCCATGGTGAAATCCCATGGAATATTTTGAAAAGTGAACCCCCTTGGCAAAAGCTGGCTAAGAGGCCTGAAAGATAAAAACAGATAATCACAATAGGCAGTAACACACAAAGGCTTGCAAATACAGACATAATCATTAGCAGGCATACAGTACATATGAAAACAAAGTAACACTTAGAATATAAGTGATATGGTGGCTATAGATTGGTAGGCTGACCTAAAGATCAGTGCATATATGTCCAAAGTTTACATATAATAGATCCAAAAATATCAGTCAGCTAGATAACTATTATGTCATTGATGAAAGACTTAAAGGCAGAATCAGATCAATAGGGGGTGACAAATTTGCAAACAAAATGTACAATTACCCAAATGCGAGTAGGTAGTTACCAGTTTCACCACCAGGTGGCTGATTCGGGTCAATTAACATGGCAGGTATATAAGAAAGTTCCCTTAAACTTGAATATTATCAATTTAAGTGGCTCAATTTTCATATAACCCTTATGTGTCTGATACTTATACTAATGAAAATATGTCCAGTAAAGCAAAATATTATCAGTCCACTAAAAGAAAAGATATTTCATTTTTTGTGATTTTATAGCATGGGGTGTATGGGGAATCTCCCTGAGCTAGAAGTCACATTTTCAAAGAAAATTAATTTTTCAAAGTTGATAAACACTTTTTAAAACCACACTACTAGATGTAATTTTACATGTAGATTTCAAATGTGATATTACTTTGACTGAATTTTTAATTTTTAATGACGTAATCAAGATTATTTCTACTCGCATCTGGGTTATTGATCTGACCAATCAGTCTATTCTCAGATACCCTTTGGGATTTTTAGAAAATACACATGACAAAGAATCATATGAGTCAAAAATATTTTCAAACTGAAATAATTTTTGTAAAGCCCACTCGCTAGATCTGATTCTCCCTTTAAAAATAAAAATAGATTTTTCTTCTAGGGAAACCAATAAAATAGACGGTGATTTAAGCTATTGGTGTCCAGGGTAGTGGCCAGGGGTGTAAGGGGGGAAACCAGCATAGTACCCAGGAACTGAGGGGTACTGACTCCCACATCTATCATACGAGTGATTATGTGCAGGGAGGGGGTAAGCATGGGGTTTGATAGGGACACCATGGCTGACAGACTCACTGTATGCCCTAAACTGACTGGAATCCCCGGGGAATGGCTCACTATAAAGAAACTTCTCACTTGGAGATACAGAGGAAGGGGGTGTAATGTTATAACCAGAGTCTGCCATATTGGATACAGTTATAGGCGTGGTCAGGTTGGCCTGGGATTTACTAGACAGCTGCCCGAGGGTGAGGTGGTTCTCGCCACCAGGGGGTGTTAATAATGACGACTCTGTGTAGTACTGGGGTCGTGGATTTGACCGGATCACAGATTCACGATTTGCGTATAGTTGACGAAGGAGATTGGAGGCAGGCAGTGGTGCACTGTCATAAAGATGCTGCTGGGAACCTATCCATTGTATGGTCGATTTCTGCTTCTGTAAAGCTGCATAGTCAGATACAAGAACAGCATTTTGCAGCTCACTGGACACTAGGTGCGTCGAGGATGTAGGGAGATGACGTGTCATTGCAGCTTCAAGATCACGTACAGAGTTTGGACCCTCGCTGTATCTCTCCCCCTCTGTGGTCTCACTGTAGCCTCTCTCGGCCTCAGTCCCTTTCCCCCAGCTTTCATTGGAGGGTGTGTCTGCTTGGGATGACACCTGGTGGTGAGATGTGGTATCATTAGAGCGAATGGATAAATCCTGGGGGGAGGGGGATTTATGAATGTGACCCAGGGGGGCTATATCTTGATTTGACATCGATATTCCCCCTTGGAATTTATCAGGGCTAGTTTCCATTGGAATCTCTAACTGCAATTCTGGTGTGGTTCTACTATTCACACTTGGATTCACAATCTCCTCTTGAGTCTGAATCAAATCACTACTGGAAATCTTTAACTTTTTTCTACTAGATCTGATAACATTGGAGCTATGTTCAATACTCATGTCATCTGCATGTTTTTCAATATCATCCCTAGTTAGACTACCCTCAGTGACCATGCTATCAGCAGCCAAATTGTCTGTGTTTGAGAGAATGTTCGGAGCTTTATTAAGCTCCACATTCCCAGCATCTTCATTGTGGGAAATGTCTGCATTATGACTAGAGGAATGTTTTCCACTATAATTCAAGGAATGTGTTTTTCCATTGAAATTGGAGGAATGTGTTTTCCCGTGACTTGAATGTGAGCTGTGAGTGATGTCACCCGCAGAGTCTGATGTCATGTCTCTTTGTGTCTGGTCTCTAGACACATCACCAATGTCATCTGAAGACAAAAATAAAAATCATCACTGTTTTTAGGTTTGGTTAAAACAAAGTAATCTCATAGGAAACCATTCACTTCGATTAAAAAATTTGAAATTGATTTGCCTTTCATTTGAATTCTAAAAAATCAATCTTCCTCGCTATTGCAACCAGCATTTAACCCCTCCCCTAAATAAATCAATGCTTTACTTCTACTTCAGGGCTCAGTCAATACATAAACATCCATCAACCTTTATAGCAAATAACTTTTTTTTGATAAACCATAAGAATACAAGAACTCAATGCTGTCTCAATCCCTGAGGGCTTTACCCAAAAACGTCTAAATGCACACAATTGTGTGTCAATGAAAATCAATATTTTGAGCCAACCCCCAACCATGAGACTATCCCTGAGTGTATACCTTGGTCTGGTGTTTCCTCACTGCCTGAATGGTCTGAGGGGCTCCCTTCCATTTTACTGCTTGACTGCTGGTTCAAGTTCATCACACATCTAGAATGCTCTACACCACTGAAAACACACAAAGTCAATGACTACATTTTGATATGCATTGAAAGGCTTAACATTAATACAATACATTAACATATTAATATGCACACATATTAATTGATATTATAGCATTATGACAAGACGGAGAGTGTGATATGTCGATATATCACCTTGAGGGATAAAACATCACACGGGGCAGAGCCGAGAGTGATATTTTTTTCTGAGTGAGATGTTAGACCAAATAATCAAATGGTCATGTGATGTGATCTGACCAATAGCAGTCCACCATTCTAGTTTGAGATATGATATATCTTAATACTGTTATGACTATAACTTAATTGTCAACAATGATCATGCATTAATGCAGCAATTTCTTGATGTTTAGGACTACACACAACACAAAATAATCATCAACTATGGATTTTTATATAATTAAGGACTCTACTTTGTTACATTGTCAATGACCGAACCTTAATAAAGAGTTGATTTTACATGTACTTTAATACAAAGTTAAGTACCTCAGTACATAGTCAATGACTTTGATTTTAATACATGACTATACCTTAATACATAGTTAATGACTATACCTTAATATAAAGTTAATGAGACTATACCTTAATATACGAGTTATAGTTAATGACTATACCTTAATACATAGTTAATGACTATACATGTACTTTGATACATAATTTATGCCTGTACCTTAATCATGGGCGTAGCGCTATTTTTCTAAGTTGTACGCAACCACCACAGGAACAAGAGTTGAGTGAATGAAAAAACAAGCATTCTGCGGGGTTTGGGGATTCTCCCCCAGGAAAATTTTTAAATTTGGTTGTATCTGGAGCGAATTTGCAACCATTTAAGGTATATGCGTACCCAGCGTACCGGGCGCTACGCCCATGTCAATAACACTTAATGACTATACTTTAATGCATAATAAATGACTAAACCTTATTACATAGTTAATGAGACTATACCTTAATATATAATTAATGACTATACCTTAATACATAGTTAATGACTATATGGCTCTGATCATCTTGATTCTTATTGTTACATATAGTTGTTGCACATAGTTGTAACCAGATGTAGCCACCGTGCTTGTTCATCAGACGGAAATAGCTGGAGAGCACTTGCCCTTTGTTCAATACTGGAATAAAAAATTGAATTGAATTTTGTAATGCATTGCAATGTGACCTTATCACAGAAAAGAGGTCAAATATATCTGGTAACATCATATATTTAGTTCATTTGGAGATTCATTGGGGAGGTTGCTTAATTCATAATGTCAAAATAAAAGTATGTTTTTGGGTAGTGTGAGAACATTCCCGTTATGAATCCATATATACATTATGTGTGGTAAAAGGATATCTATGTATCAAACAATGAACTATGAAATGCATCTGTATAGATATTATCGAAATTAACAATGAGCTAAATAGATTCCTACAATTTTTGTGATATTATTGTCAGGCCCGTAGCCAGGGGGGAGTTCGATGGGTTCGAGCGAACCCCCCCCCCCCCTGGCCAAAACTTCTTTCAAAATCATGACGTTTTTCACCATTCTGAGCACTCTTTAAGTGATTTTGGCCATTTTTGGACCAAATTTGTCAAAAGTGAACCTCTCTGGAATTTTTCAAAAAGTGAACCCCCCTTGGCAAATCCTGGCTACGGGCCTGATTGTTATCCATTGGTCAATGAAACTCCACAACCATTAAAGATGTCATGTACTATTTTATGTGTATTCACACATAGACATACATGTACAAGTACACAGTCTATTTACAAAATAAAGACATATATGAAGAGAACTTACAGTCATGATGAGCCGTCCTCAGCCTTGTTAAGTCCTCAGCATGGCAGAATTCATACAAGCTTTTGTTGAGGATGTCTTCAGCAGTTAAATCCATGAGATCACTTATCCTATAACAAAACATGATTTCACTTATCCTCCAAGGGATGATCAAAAAGTAACGAAGTAACGAAACATGATTTGACTTATCCTACAAGGGGTGATCAATAAGTAACGAAACATGATTTAACTTATCCTACAAGGGGTGATCAATAAGTATTAAGCAATGGACTCTTTTTACAACATGATTTGACTTATCCTACAAGGGGTGATCAATAAGTATTAAGCAATGGACTCTTTTTACAACATGATTTGACTTATCCTACAAGGGGTGATCAATAAGTATTAAGCAATGGACTATTTTTACAACATGATTTGACTTATCCTACAAGGGGTGATCAATAAGTAATGAAACATGATTTGACTTATCCTACAAGGGGTGATCAATAAGTAACACACTCTTTTTACAACATGATTTGACTAAATATAACGTGATTTGAAGAGCACTGAAGTCTAATTCAGTAAATTAATGATTTTCACCATTTTCAATTGTACACCTGGATGCTATCATATTATCATAGATATTAATTGCATTAATGAATGTAATTAATGTGACACTTAATTTTCCATAAATACAACAAACTCACCTAGGTTCACAATGTAGAACTTTGAAGTCAGGTCCTAAGCGAGTGACGAACATGTCATTGTCAATCAAAATTTCATTGACAGTTGGCGGTGGCAATGCTATGGCAAGGCCTACAAAGCCTAGTAGAGGGGGCGGAGCTTGTTTGCGTGTGAGTGAGAAAACCATCTGAGGTCGCATATGTCCCATGATATGAACAACCTGTAAATATGGAAAACTATTTTTAATCACAATAGCAACAAACAAACCATTGTCTGAATGACATCTTAAATTTACTAAGAAAGGAGGCTCATGTTTTTTATCATTGTATATCAAATATGTTTGAGACTAAAGCAGGAATTACTGGAAAAGATTCTGACAAAAACTAATTTTAGAAAACAATAAATTGACACAAATGCTTGCAAAGAAATATTTCTCAATTTATGTTCTAAATAGATGTCACTCCCATGTGAACAATGTAAAAAGTCAGAGAAGAAATTATTCCAAATTGATGATGGCATGTGTATTTAAAGGGGTCGCCTCAAACTATAGTTATGTAAAGTAAAACCTGTGTATATTGAACATGTTTTTTTTGCCTATACTCAAGATTTCAATAAAAGGCTGACAGACCTACCCTATATCATACTTACCCTATATCAGACTTACCCTATATCCTGAAGACTTGACATGTACTCCTCTCTTAGTAAGTGTAGACTTCATACGGACACAGAATGACCTGTCATCCCCACTGGCCAGGGATGGGTTCATAACCATCACTAAAACACAATCAAAATTTGCTTTAGTACATTTAAATGCTTGAGTCTTACTCCCTACATTTGTCATGACTTGTTTAATCAACTGATATGAAATCAAATCATGGGAATGCAGTATGCCAAAAAGAGTATGTTGATTTGTCTTTCACTTAAATTTCTCAAAGTATTAACAATTGTTACATATGAAATTGTTATGTACCCCTACCCTTAACAAAAGGATGTGTCCGGGTATATGCCCTTTTGGTCCCTCAGTCAAATGTATGTTAAATATGTTTTTTACTACTGTCCTAGTTATATTTACTTTTTCACGAGTTTTGATGCATAATTAACCCCCTGCTGAGAGTCAGAATAAGTATCTTAACAAAAACAAATAGTCATTATCATAGAAAAAAAATATCAATGGCAACATGTATGACTTACAAAGAAGAAATAACTTAAGACCCATGAAGAATTTAAAAGAAAATCATATTTTTGAAATATATTTAAGGATTAAAATTTTTTTCAAATTTTTGAATTTCCCGCCAGTTTAATTTGAAGGGGGAAAAACAAGATGGCTGCCGTTTGATGTAAGAAATATCAGAAAAAAAGTTGCTTCACTTTTAGTTTTCACAATGAGCACAGTTTTCCGGTTTAGGTTTTTTGACTGATTCTGACTCTTCATCACCAGGGTCATGTATAGAGATTATAAAATTGAAACCGGAATGTTGTGCTCAGCATGAATTTGACTGAAATATGTGTAACTTCACCAACACAATTGAAGTCTCAAAACTGGATGCTCAGTAACTTTGAGTGACTATAATCCCTTGATTACCCAGATAAACACCAATTCACTTATCCAGAAATGCCATTCAATGTCTATACAAAGAAAGTAAGCAATGTTTTGGAGGATATGTTTCAAACCTTTTGCATAAATAATTCATTTAATATTTGCCATTGATTTTTTTTCAATTCTGACAAAGTGATATGCACTGTCTTTGATGCCAATATTCTTCATTAATTGTGATACAAATTGATATTTTTGTACTCTCAGAAGAAGGATAAGATATTGAAGTTTAATAATATGTGCGATTGAGTTGGTTTTTCAGACATTACAATTTTCAATATTTTCTAAGTCGATACCCAGACTCATTCCCAGACTCATCCTTTACTGCATTCTTCTACAATTGTTGACAACTAGAAAAAAACAGCAACTCCCAAAGTTGCAAATCCCACTGAACAAAAAATATCTCATCACTGATCAGTTTGAACATTAAATGAATATGTATGTATCTGAATCAAATCCGATAATTGATAAACGAGATGTAAATTATCAAAAATATACATGTTTTCATGAAAAATGGTGGGCATTTTGAATTCAGTGGCAATTGTGAAAATATTTTCTTGACCACAGGTCATAAAGCATCAGCATATAAAATAAAAATGTGAACCAAATCTGTCAACATGGTATTTGAGTTATCAAAGATTACCTTTTTCAAAAAACATGGCAGCCATTTTGAATTGAGTGACTATATTAAAAATTCCTCAATCCCTCCTGAATGTAGACAACATAAACAGCATAGGTAGCCAGGGGGGGGGTTGCGATGGGTGCACCCCCCTCCCCCCATCGTGAAAGAAAGGAAATAAAAGAGCTTTAAAATGCTTTTTATTTGAAGCTTCTGGCTCAATTTTGAAGGAAGCTGCATCAATTTTTGTACAATAAGATAAATCTTATTTTTTGGCTTGTTTATGCCACAATCGAACCCCCTGACTGAAAACCGAACTTTCTTTGGTGATCACACCCTCCTGACTGAAAGCTGGCTACGCCCCTGAACAGTATTCTAATTCTGAACAGAATAGTTACCTCTATCATGTAAAGGTGGAGTTAGTGACCGGGGGCTTGTTAATGGTGTACTAGTGTCCTCTGATGTCATAGAGCTAGGGGAGGGGGTGGTAGTACTTGGGTGAACCATGCCTAATTCTTCAGCAAACTCCTGTTGATCTGCATGGTGAATATAGTCAAACATGCTACTACCTGTCATCTCAACCTGGAATACAATACAGCTATTATAAAGGAGAGGGGGGTAGATAGCACATGTTTTAGACATGGCATTAACATCCAAAATGTCACCACCTGCCATTTGTAGACACCAAACTCCTAATGCAAACGCCAAGTGCCAGACAGAGCAAAAAGTTGGAGACCATAACGATTGTGGTGGTTACATAAAAATGTTCTAATCATGAAAAATTCCGAAGTTAAATTATACTATATTAAGTTTTGTCTTGATGAATTGTAAAAAGTAGAACCAGAAGTCGAAATTGGACAAACATATGTTATCTTTGAGTATGACAGCTAGCAATGCCTAAGTTTTAAGGCACACAACAGCCATGCATTAAAGTAGTTCTAAAGAGCAAATGAAAGAAGTGGCAATTGCACCGAGTCTCTATATTGGTTCTCAAGATACTGGCTAATGTAATCACCAAGACATGGGTTCCCTTATGTAAGAGGAGCAACAAAAACCTTAAATGCATTAAACTTGCCATTTCCGCGATGTTGGAAAATCCTAATTGCAAGACCTTTGATCCGTAAGGTTACTTCCACATTATTTCAAATTATTATATGCTGCTTAAGGCTAATTTCTCTGAACATACAGAAGCACTGTATCATTTAACAAAGCTGAATTAGAACTTAGACAATTACTGAAAGTTCTCAATGGTTGCACGCTAACAAAAGAAGGGTGCTTCATTGCGACCCCACACAGTTTTAAACTAATTACCACCCCTCTTTCAGTTGTTCTTTTAGCCAAGTTCAGTTGAAGCTATCACAATAGGCCAACCACTTTACATGAAATCAAGCCACAAAATGGACAACCCTGTATTTTCTTAATCAAAATATATCCAAATACTGAAAACCTTTGCTATTTACTCCAAATGTATCATCAATGATTTTTAGATAAATCAAATCGAATAAAGGAGTGAAAAATGAACTTGAAGATTAAAGGATACCAATTATGAAATTACTGATAAATACTAGTGCATCTATTAATTGATAATAAAGCTATGTGCCTGCAATGCTAAGATTACTTGGTTTATGTTTCTCGCCAGATGACAAATCTGCCGATTATACAGGGCATTCTGGCACCCTCCATATAGACATCTAGTCATATATCATACGCCACAATCAAAATGAATTTTGAGGAAATTGTTCTTTTATACATGAGTCAATTGCAGTGAGCTCTCATTTTCAAGCAGATAGTGTCAGCGGATCCTATAGTGATGATATATGAAGGGTGAAATACAAAGCTTAGATATTTTCGAACATTTGGATTTGCATAATCACTATTTCAAAATAAAAGATAATCTGAGTTTGCCTAAAATTATAAGACATATCTGCATGATATTAAAAGTCAAGGAAAATCAGTTTTCTCTCAGTGAGTCTTATCCAAGGTGAAACAAACACTAGCCTTTTTTAACTCTATTTCATTCAATATGAACCAGCTGACCATTTCAGTTGTGAACACGCATTAACATTCAAAATGTCACCACCTGCTATTTGTTACAGACACCAAGCTCTGAATGCCACTGTTGCCACATACCAACCACAAACAGTATCCACGAACAAGTTGGAGACTTTAACAATATGTAACCATTTGTGGTGGTGACATAAAAAAATAACATGGTTACTTGTAGAGCATTTAATTTTCAATAGAAGGTCCGGAAATGCCATGCCAACGAGTTTATGTTTGAATGTTGAATAGTAGGTCCAGAACCCTTATATTTCACCATGGGAAGTTCTTTTAAGAATTGTGGGTATTTTTCCAAGTTTTTAATGGGTGAATCATAGGTGTTTCATCCAGGTAATTTTACGGATGTTTTCCTAAATGTTTATATGTGTGTTTATCAAGTGTTTTTCATTAGTGTTTAGGAGTGTTTCTCTGAGGTTACAGGTGTTCTCCTGGGTGTTTTTGAGAATCTAACTTACCTGAGAGAGACCTAAATAGATGGACACAGTTTCTGAAATGTACAGGAAGCGACCATCGTTAGCTAACGTAAAGGCAAACCCATCCATTGACTGAAAATACAATAAAACAATAATTAATCTAATTTTCAAACAATACAATTTTATTTTCAAGTGTAGAATAGTGATATATATTACGTAAATCCTTTATTATGAATACAGGATCCAATATATAAAATTTATTACTCCACAATACATAAATTTGGGTTTGACATATTTTTTATGATTTATGGGTGTATGGTTGTTTTGTGGCACTACTGTACATGGTTATGAAGGGAAGACAACTGTCGACCACTGTTCACAAAAAGTTTCTTTTCACTTCTGATGTTAACATAACAATAAATGATGTGATATATTTTGATTTTTCATAAGGATGCTGCCATTCACATTCTTTCTGTAAACAAAGAAATAGTTCAGAATTTACTACCATTTTAGTATCATATACATGTACCATGCTATTAAAGCTTACAAAGTGATTATTCTGTAAAATATCTAACAGGGACCAAGGTGTAATATAATGTTGTTTTTTTATTTAGAAGGACAAATAAAGCTGATATTAATAGACTGAATTCGAATACTATAGTTGGAGTTACTTTTATAAATGAGGTTATTATGAGAGACATATTTTACATCAGTGAAACACGAATCCCTGAAGATGCCTCTTGTCTCCAATATACTTGATGTTTGACAGATCTGTATGCTTCAGTTAAATCATCAACTCTAATGGCTTCTAATAATCCAAGCATATATAAAGTAAAATATGAAAGGATGGGTATCGATATGGTGAACTTTTTGAACACACGTTTCTCTTAAACCAGTCATCAAAACATTCTGAAAATTTTACAGATTTTACACAATTTGGCAATTTAATGGTCATCTTTTGAATGGTACCAAGATAGTTTGAAAAAAATATGTATACTTTTCTCTATATTGTTTTAGAAACACATCAGACACTTTAATTTGTTCTTGATATTGTATGTAATCCAAATGAGATGAAACATCTATCCGAAGCTCATTGGAGAAAAACGACATAAACACAACGTGTTTAGGTCTCTCAATTGGTTGATTTTAAAAAAGTATCGTTTTAATGAAATAAAAGGTTTATCTTAATTTTTATCTATTTTGGGGAATTTTGTTTTAATTTTTTGAATACTTTTTGTTAAATCAACCAAAATTTCCTATGTATAACCTGAATATTGAAAGGTCTAAGAAAATGTTGTAAATGCTAATTTGTTCCAACAAGTTCGAAAAGACATGTTATTTCATTCTCAAGAATTGGTAGAAAGGAATAAAAAACAATTGCACTAAAAAACAATTTTTTTTTAACAAAAACAGTTATATAAAATATACATAATATATAAATATATATAAATAATATTCGCATTAAATTGTTGTCAATGAGTCAACATTACATAAAGGACCAGGTTTTTTAACGGAATGTTTTCAATGATTGGTTTAAGAGAAAAACGTTGTTGAATTCAGTTCACCATATCGATACCCATCCTTTGAAAGGAGTGGTATCGATATGGAGAACTTTTTTAACACACGTTTCTCTTAAACCAGTCATAAAAAAAAATCCCCAAATTTAACACATCATCAATTTTATGGTCCTCTTTTGAATGGTTACAATATAACTTGAAAAATATATAAATACTTTCATCTACATATATATTGTTTTAGAAAACACATCAAACACTTGTTTTGTTCTTGGTATCATGTTTCCAGGGTGAAATGAAACATCTTTCCGAACCTCATTGGAACAAAACGACATAAACATAACATGTTGAGGTCTCTCAATATTGTAATTGTACAAAGAAAATTTTGGTTGATTTGAAAAAAGTATCTTGTTAATTAAATAAAAGGTTTATCTTGATTTTTATCTATTTTGGGGGGATTTTGTTTTAATTTTTTGAATACTTTTTTAAAACCAACCAAAAATTCCTTTGTATAACTATAATAAAAACATAATGTATATATATGCTATTTTGTTCCAACAAGGTTCGAAAACACATTTTATTTCATTCTCAGTTATAAACAGTTATATAAAATATTTCTAAATAATTTTTGCATTAAATTGCTGTCAATCAGTCAACATTACATAAAATACCATTTTTTACAGAATATTTTCAATGATTGGTTTAAGAGAAAAACATTGTTGGATTCAGTTCTCCATATCGATACCACTCCTTTGTTTAAAACAAACCATCAATTTAATTTTTCTATTTTTTATATTCAGAATTGTGTGTAAATAAATAATAATAATAAAAGGATCAATTTTCAGAGTGAATTATTATCAAAATTATACAATTCAGGTCTATACACTGTACATATATAAGTGTTAAACATGTACTTCAATGAGATGGATTTCGTCATCGCTCTTGTCACATTTATTATCTTTAATAAATGTAGTTTTATTTTATTATATTAACATAAAACGATATGTTATATACAGTTCAGTGACACCTCAAGGCTTGTTGACCTCCAGTGCACTTAGGAATCAAATCAAGTGCAGAACAAGTGCAAAAAAGACACTCAGTGCAAATATAAATTATCATCATCGTTACACGTTGCTCAATAGGTAACACTATAAGATGTTAGGATTAACATTAAAGAAGTTAAAGAAGTCAATCATCAATTATTCAAGAAGTCAGAAATCATCTACTTTCTCGAATTTCTCAGGAGGGTTTAAAGAATCGTAGGAATTATATCGAGTCGTGACCTGCTGCTACGGGTAGCAGGACCATTAACCTAATGGCTCTTCACTAACCAACCATAACTAAGACGCTATTCTCTGAATACGTAAATAGCAAACATCATGTCTAATTAAACATATTTTTGACTATCTAAAAGCAATTTCTAGAAGTGCTTATTGCAGCTTTGCATTTTGTGCTTACATTCTTCAGATGAGGTGTAAACTGAGGATTTGCTGAAAATCCTTTTTATACAATTCCTAAATTATATATTTAGATACAGTATAATATTGACTCTTTTCAGATTTTTGCTTTTTTTTAACTTTTTACTCGCAAGAGGGACGAGATGATGAAGTTATGGTAAAAGGACTTGAGGCTCTAAAAATAATTGTTATCAGAAATCCAGAGACCTTCATTTTAAACTCTTTCTAACAAAAAATATAACTTTCATCCTTCATATCTCAATAGTAATCTTTTTGGCACTGCATCATCAAAGATGTAACTAATGTAACAGTTCAAAGACATAACTGAGGCCATTTAGCCTCTGGACAGTTCTTTAGTTGTATTTCACTTTTTGTATTTTCACTTAAAAATAATTTTTCTCTGATTATTGCTACCATTGTATTTTCTTTAAAACAGTGCATGTTGTATACATGGGCATACATGTAGTTATGTAACTAATTCCCCAGTCACTTTTGATCTACAGCTACCGTATGGCAGCTGTAGCTTCCCAAAATCATAGAAATATTCAACATAAAATATAGGAACACGTAGTAAAATATAGAAATACTGATTTTGTGAAGCTACAGCCGCCGTATGGCGACCGTAGAGCAAATGTGACTGAGGCTTAAGAAAGAGAGAGAGCTAAACGAAATCTGATTCACATTAATAACTTTTCTAAAATAATTTATAGCCTATCAGAGTAATTTAATGATGATTGAAACATTGTCATATTGTCTAGTGAGAACGCATAAATAAAACATCTCTTCGACTCCAGGGGGATTTCTACTAAAATTATCCACATTCGTCACTTGTTCATTCTTGAAGGGGACCAGGTGGATGTAGGAATATATTATGAAATAAAGAAGCACCATCCCGTAATATCTGTCAAATAATAGCCCAGGGCTTATTTTTGAGTAATGAGACAGCATTAGAAAGATAATGACAAGTGAATGTTTCTTTAAAAAAAATTGTAGCTGTTAAAATAGTGAAAAATATCAAAACACATCATTTTATTACAAGCATTATGTGATCCTGTATGGTAGATTAAAACAGAATAATCATGTGTTTTTTTTATTAAATCTATTATTATTCTTCAAAACATATAAATATAGTAAAGTGATTAACCTGGTGGATAGGGGGGTACACAAGTCTTGGAGCAAGACTACAGATTTTGTTGAAGATGTTTGTTAGAATGATATGATAAGTATTATTTGATGAAAATTTAGAATTCAAGTTGATGTAAAGTAAATACACAATCGATATCCCAATATATGATTCATATCATATTTTACATTTAATTTACATGTTGAAATCATATTTGAAATCAATTGTGTTACTAAGCAGTCTTTCTATATAAATATGTTTTTCCAAAATTAACAAAATCTAAGAAGTGCTCTTGTATAAGCATGCACTATAATTTTGGTTCATGGAGCATGGAATGTCAAATAAATGCACCCCCCCCCCCTCCCATATGACTTCAACTCCTTGACTAACCACAGTGAAGAGATATCTCAACAAAAAAGTGGGTGACAAGAAACATGTATTCTGTTACAAGATATTTCACAAATATTTAATTACTGAGATAATCTTAATCCAATCGATATAAATTATGTTTTAAAATGTGTCAAAATAATGTTATCTTAATTTCCTAAAGTGAGCATCAAATGTTATTAAATGTCAATTGAGGCATTAACATGCAAATTGTCACTACCTGCCATTGGTTACAAAAAAGCCAAACACCAACTGCCAAATGCTGAATGCAGAATACCAACCACCAAACACCATCCACAAAAAAGTTGAAGACTATAATAATATGTTACAACTTTTTATGGTGACATAAAAACTAACAAGAAATGAAAAATGTGCTGATTTCAGCCTAGAAGTCGAGTGGTTAAGTATCGTCTCATAAAACCAATTTTGAATCTATTAAATATGATCAAATCTATTCATGCTTCTATTAGCCTACAGTAATTTCTCCCCATCATTCTACAAAAAATGCATCTTCCAAGAAAAATGTGTTTTATCGAAGTTGAGATATGTGAAAGTGGGCAATATGTCTCTTGTTGACACAGTTTGTATGTTGAGACCCCTTGGGGAGAGATAATGAGGCCATCTATAATCCCACCAATATCTATAAATCCA